GCCATTCCAAAAACTCGAAGAACTCTTCATTATTTCGTGATGTGAACAGCATGCCATGCTCCCAGAGACCCTTCATAGGGTCGTAATGATGCAATCCTTGCATCTCTCGAAACCGCATCGCAATGTGACTGGGCAGCCATCGCCCAAATCCACCAATGATCAACTTGCGTGCTCCCCCAGAAAGTGTACTTAAAGCCAGCATTCGGTCGTTATCGTTGAAGGGCAATGGATATTTTGGAAAGGAGTCCTTCTGAAGACACAGGATCTGCATAAGCTAGTACACTGTTTAGATAGGGAGACACGCACCCGAATCAATGCAGGGTGATTCAGTCGTCACTGGGACAGAAGCATCGCCTGAATGCGTTTCGCAGATGGTTTCCGTACCAGCTATATCGTGTACTGGAGCATCTAAAGCACCAGAGAGACATCGACTGCGTCAAGCAATTTCTGGACGTCTTCGCCTACGGTACCACAACCCTGCAGTGCACCACAGCAGTCATGCTCATTGCATTGTTTGTCGTGATATGCACGCCCAATCGACTAATTAGCAGATCAATACAAGTTATATTAATGATACAAGGACACGCACGAAACACAAGTATATCAGAACATGTTGAATTCTGCACATGTTAAAGGTCCACCCCATGAGTCGCTTGTAGGTCTTCGCGATCCTTGGCGTCAAAGCCACTGGATATGTGATCCAACCAGAGAGATAGTAATCGAGCGCTGGGGATCTGAATTTGCCATGCAATGCATCTGGAGACTGTGCAGCGTCGTCCATGAATGCAATCCGTACTTCATTCATGTAGTCCATGATTGAGGCATAAACATCACGCTCTGGCAGCGTTTAAAATGGGATGAAGCACTGAGGTTTCCACAATCTTCCTATACAGGCCAAATTTCTTGTTCAGCGCATGAAGAGGAATGCGATAGTGTGCAGCAACGTCACAGGACTTGCGAGGTCGGCTGGACACCTTGAACGAACACAATCCATCCACATCTTGAATTGTTCCTTTGACTTTCAGTTAGTCGACCGATCTCCTCTGGACTCCATTGACGAATGTGACACAACGGATTCATGGAAAGGAATGTGCCCGCTTGCAGGTCCACCAGTTCCGCCTCAGTACTTGTAATATCTCGGGTGCCTCAAGCTTGTAACTCGGCTCCACACAGCCATATGCATGTGGATGGTCCAATTTTCAAATACCAGATCCGGTGCTGTGCTAATCAAATCCAATTGTTTAGGAAATTAGCGGTATGGGCTGTTCGTCCATGTTGTACTGGTGTATGGGAGATTAAGACCCACTTCATATGAATATAAATACAGGTACTGTCTTACTGTATCATTGGGTGCTGATAATAAGATCCAATTATACTCCCCACTGGCCTGTAGCAACCCTGCTGTGCATACAACACGGTGTTGGTGGTACACATGGCTGCCTCATTTTACAGGTGTTCGGCTGGAAACACATTTTTTGTACTCCAAGCCTGAATCAAAGAGCCCGCGCCTAGCCAAATACATAAAACATATGGTGAAATAAACTTTGCCAAAACATGGTCATATTCAAACCTTGTGACCCTGACATTACTCACGAAACAGCAAGCCAATTGATGTGGGCCGCTAAACCGACAGAATGGCATTGTATCTAACATTTTGTAAGCCAAGGAATACCATCTTACGTGGAGTAGAGTAGACGACATGGACCAGACTCGAACTACTACTATATTACCATCCCCTTTGCACTGTGGGGCAGGAGTATCGTCGAATAATCTCGTTAGCAGATGTGTCCACTGTCGGCTGAAGGTCGTCCATCCATCCATCAGGAAGTTTACCGAGCTTCATCGCCTGTTCCATTCAGTGCTCTAATCTGAACGACAAGCATTACCCGTTTCCAACTATCCCACAATGTCCCCCCACGTCGAATTGGTGTTGTCAAAAGGACAAGAAACTCTTCATCAAAGTTCACGCCGTCGTAGGGAGATGTCAGGCGTGGCTTGGTGTTCCTACTCATCCTGTGGCCAAGGGCCGACATACAAGCCTCATTGAACCACCTGCAACAAGACCTGCAGTATCGTTGCAGGTGATTGGGGACGAGAATGCGATATCGCATGAGTTGCAACTGCAGTTCGTGGATACCTGTGAATTCTGTGAAACAGATCATGAGGTTCATCCACGCATCATATAGAAACCATACATACCTCGATATTGACTTCCTGCAGCTGCAGGACATTCCTGTGCGTTGTGAATTTCATGGATATATTCCACCGGTGGTATAGGGTCGCAGTCGGTATTTGAGGTTGGGATAGATCGCCCTCATCATACCGAACAATATCTGCGTGAGCTTCAGTGCATAGAAACATATTAATATTACTGGGATGGTCTGGACAGGCAGAGATAATTGACAACACACCTTCGACGCAATGCATATCCACGACAGACTTGTGATCGCTCAACACAAGTTCATAGTCACCTACTGCAAGCTGCAAGGCTGGATAAAGAAGACACTGTCAATGGTTCTGTGAAGCTCCATGACGGAAAAACATACTCCACATCTTGATCCTCCAAGTCAACCCGCCTGTAGTACCACTGTATGTCAAGCCACACGTCCTGTCGTATACCACATGAGTAATCATATCGGATTTGGAGAGGAATAGTGGTCTCGGTCACCTGTGTCTTATTCCTTTTGGCTGCCGTCCAATAGATCTCCATAACCTTACCATACCAATATGACATCGTAGGGAGGCTTCCGTCATTCGACGGTACTGCACGTTCATCAAGTGGAAATATGGAGACACTGAATGATGCAGGTCAGTTTTGCACAATAAATATGTAGACGTTCGCATACTCATCCCCAACTCGAATCACCAAACGGCCTTCGTCGATCGAGCCATCAGATGGTGCATCAGTGTCATAGACCCCTGTGAATGATGAGTTACTTGGTGGTAAACAAATATTAATGTCAGGTGCCACAGTGGAACATACATTCCAATGATGTACATCGCCTGAGTGTGCCCAGCTTCGGATGATTACCACTCATAGGAGGCAATGTTCTTCTCTTCTCTGAATGGGATACATGGCTGATCACCAAAGGTCTGACGGAAATGCAGGCGAGGGACATCAGGACGATGTGAGTGAGGTCTAGTGTGCCTACAAAATGGGTCTCTTGGTGTCGAAGGAGATTTTGATCCGTACTTTATACATCACTCGATCAAATCAGAATATCATCCATAACAGGAAAACCACCAGCATAATATTATGTCATGCCGAGTATTGCCACCCTACTCAAATCACGTTGTGGTCCAATGCTCCATTAACCGAATAGCCTAATACAACGGAACTTGAGCTCGGAGCCTATCAAGCCAAGGACCCTAAATTAATGGGAATATAATACATGGACCCTGGGAGGGTGGGGCGAGCTCAGCCTCAAGCACAGCGCATACCTACATTCTGATGGACGAACACTATATCAGTGATATTCAACTGGAAATCATGAAGTCCAAGATTCTGGATTGGGACCCACAACACTCGAGGATTACAGGAACCATTGGATACATACCCGAAATTACTTTGGAGGATGGATGGAATACTGATGACGATCTTGGAGGACTGTCAGCAGCCATAGATAATTGTAAAATCGTAGAGTCGAGCGGGAATCATGTCGAGGCAACTAAAGGACGACGAGGGAGGCCAAAAAAGCGAGTGGTGCAGCGCCGTGGGTACATCTATTTGACCCCTATTTACATAGACATGACACTAGATTTCAGGTGGCAAGCAGATGCCAGGCGTTGCGAGCGCTCAGGAGGACACATCAACTATCGATACTGTTCAGAATGTGTCTGGAAAGCGTGTCATTCGTGCTACCACAAGTCCAGTGCCTGACCATATCCCAGCACAAGTGGATGTGGTGTACTGTGTTCCCATTGATGAAATGATAAGTAATACACATGATTTAATTCAAGAGGATGAGGAGCATGGGGAGGAGGGGAGCATCAATATGCTACAGGAAATTCTGAACTCTGGCATCCTGGATTGGAATCCGCAGGAAGCATGGACCGCAAAGAATAACCCAGCTCATCGGCAACATACCGATCCACATTGCGAGGAACAATCGACAGCGATGGAAAGCTCCAGAATAGCTGAGAAGGAGAATGATACACAAGAGAGCAAACCACGCAGGGCACGCGGACGACCATCCAAGAAAGGGATTTCATGTCGTCAGTCCCAGCACCACAACTCTATTTTCATTGAAATGATACTTGACCACAGGCAGCACGCACAAGACATTAACTTTCAATCATGATAGAAGTGTCAGACATATCATCCGGGCGACAAGTAATCCATGCCAGCAGGAAACTATTGATGGGGGTCACGGTGGTATCAGCACTGTAGTCCCTGTCGATACATGCAATGTGGACAACCAACCAGCAGAAGCCGAATTCCCGAGTCTCAATTTCAATGGGGCGGAGATGGAGAGCAGGGAAGTCAGGGAACAGCCATCAACTCGACGTGCTCGCGGACGTCCTAAAAAAGGTGTTAGACATACAGAAGTCAATGGTTGGTCGATCTCAAAGTCTCTGTCGAAGATGTTATAATATATTCTATTTCCAGCGCCCAGGACACATGTAATCCACGAAGTTTCTTCAAACATCATCCAACTACAAAATGAGGATGATGCACACAATAAGAAAGTGAGATGTAAGCATTGACCGTCAAGGTACCATGGTTGTGTGAGCAGGCTGAACCATTTATTTGTATATCAGGGAGATCACAGTCGATCGGAGGAACGCTTGATCATGACTATAGACCCACGCCCCCACCGGCAACACGAGTTCAGGACACACTCGCCTGAAGCGCCTGCAGCCTACATTGGCTGCACTTACTGAGCAGGAAATCGCCTGTGAGTGGAGTTCAGAGTATAAATGATAGGACCTGGAGTACACTCATGCTACCGACTAACAGCTCGTGCAATGGCGCAGCCGGGTGTCTGGCTGTCTGTGCTGCATAGCTGGACGACCCTTGGATTAAATGAGTGGCTCGAAGCAGCAGTCGCAAATTTTTACTTGTCTCATGTGTGGTATGAGATGCTGGGCAGAACACACATGAGATATGTGGACTGGAATGCAGCGACAGCGAATAACATCGAGGATGAAGAACTGGAGCACTTCCGGCGGAACCATTTTGTGCCCCATGACGGCACATGTGCCATGGCCCCTGTCGGATTCATAGTGCATCATTCCAACCATTTCTTCGTGGTCATATTCGACTATGAGCGACGCATGGCGCACGTCTTGGGTCGCCATATTTCTGCGGATTCAATGGATGTAGACGGAGAGGATCCACATGACTGGAACGATTGGAGAGGTCCGGAATATTGGAGGAAAATCGGAGCCCTTCATGGATGGAGCACAGGAGATGTCTCAGACGTGTCCATCAACCCAATGGACTGGGAGCAAAATGGGGTCGACTGTGGTCCCATCGCTTGCTCCGTGCTGGCGCAATGTCTGAAGCTGGGTTTGGATGAGCAGGGCAACTTACCCGACTTTGAGATCCAATGCGGTCACAAACTGCGGGATTCACATGCTGCGTGTCTATTGCTGCGCATGTCAAGCTCTGTTGCAGCAACTACCTGATGCTCCTAGACAGCCCACGAGATGATTGGAAAGACGACGAGCTACCCGACGAGGACATCATCAATTCGATCCAGAATGGGCGATACCAGGCTGATTGCCTGAAGGTCCTGCGGAGGCTGACTGTTGTGAGCGCCACCTGCTCCATGTGTCAACGCCCCATCGTCCATCAAGATGGAGAGCATGCCTCGTACAGTGGTGAGAATGGAGATAGCACCAATGCTGAGCAAGATGGTCCAGATGCAGGATCAAGTGAGGATGATGACGCCACGAATATGGTACATGCAATTGGCAAGGCGCACCTTGACAAGCTGTTCAAAGCAAACAAACACCTCGCTGGATCTCGGAATCGCAATTCAATAGTCCCTCGTGCCATTGGAACACACCTTCAACTCGAGCCAGAATTACCATCGGTCGTCCATGATACCGAGGACTCTCAACGCACTGTAGCTGCCACAACATCTCGGAGGCGAGTGAAAAACTGGTATCTTGGAAGCAACAGACGATTTCCACGTCCAACCGCACCAATTCCATTGGCTGCATACGGAGGTAGGAGATGGCTGCCAGACGACCATGGATTCGATGAATATGAGGGCGGACCTACCATTGAGATGATGCTGACTCCTAGGGATATCCATACGACGATGACATTCCCTGCTGGGGGATGCAGATCTCCACCGCTTGGTTAGACTGGGTCGATTGCGGCTATCGCATCACACCAAGTTCATTCCACATTTTCTATCAATGCGACCCCACTGCAACCATGGACCACATCATGCCTATCGGCACAACAGACTCCCATGATCCTTCGGACCAAGTTCCTGATCGTGTGACAGGTGCATATAGCCTGAAGCGACGGGGAACTGATCACGACGAACAGTGCACATACATCACTGATGTAGAAATACTCTCCGCATCTGAGCTCGTCGAATCCGCCCAATATGATCCCCCACTGCAGGATGAATGCAGGTTCGGACACAATGCCTTTGTGCGGGGCTGCACCAGTCATCGGTATGGCGATGGTCCTGCCTTATATGTTGATCTGGAACGAGATGCTGTTTCACTCTCAGAAGACGAGATAGAGATCTCAGTGGACATAGACAGCATCATATGGACAACAAAGGTGTTCCGATGCAAAGGGTCTGTTGGTGTCTACATCGTTCCGCCTTTCCAAACGAAACCAGGCATATACAAGCACAATCACACCTATGTAGAGATCACCATACCGCAGTCGGAAGAGGATGCAAATTCACCCGGTGGGAGGACTGAATGGCTCTCCAAACGATTTCCCATGTCTGCCATCCCTCATGTCTGTATGGGCCGCATATCATCAGCATCATCGACACTCAATCTATACATCGCGTTCCCAAGGATGATTCATCAGCACCCAACGAACGGTCGGAGAATCACTCTGATGCCAAAGGAGGTCTTGGACATATTCTGGGATAGGGTACTGCTTCCATCGATTGGACAGTGCACCGACGTCAGCTGGGAGCCCTACCTGAAACACACATTGGAGGAAGCACGTTACAAGGCCAGAGGTGCGGACGGGAGAAGGGGCGGATGGGGACCTCCTAAAACCATCCCCCTCTCAGACGATGACTTTTGTGACGTGCAGAAACGCATGGAAGCTCGCATACGTGATGGAGGACCCGAGCTCAGCATGTATGGGTCGTCTTTCTTTATTCTGGAAGGAAAGGGAATCAAGCTGCTCACGAAGGATGGCCAGAGGGGGCGTTTCTCAGGACCAGAAGAGGCCCTGCGTCGCAACCTGCCTGACCTTGACTGGCAATATATGATGAACAGGAGGCATGGCGAACTGCTGGTAGATGTGGGTGTCTCATTCACGCCCCACTCTCCAAATGTCCCACTCGTAGGGGTGTGGCGCTTAGATGCACTGGAAGCATCATTTGGAGCGGGAGGCTACAAAAGAGGGGAGATACATCATCACAACACGCTGTCTAGATATGGGGCGCTGCAGGCCGAGATGCAACAGGAGAGATCTCAGCAGACGCACATCGCATTCAGGAGCACCTACAACCTGTACTATGAGTCGATTCGAACAAACAGCAACCAAGCGAATTTCGCATCCGACAGCGACGCCTATAAGCTGTCCCCATCATATATGGCTGAATGCACCGAAATCGCCAAGGTCGTCGAGGGTTGCAAGGAGAAAACATATGGTGTCAGGGATGAGTATAGGGTGAGCGGACATGCAGCCAGAATCATCCTGGAAAATGTGGAAGAAAAGGTCAGTGACACACGCTCCAATCATCGTCGACTATAGAATGACTTGGGCGATTCTCGTCATGCAGGCCAGAGAATACCTGAAATCAGATCCAGTCCTGTGGATTCCATCCAAGATCTGGTTCGAGCTTCTGAGGAGACGGGTGCGGGAGATTCAGAGGACCCAGATATCCATTGTCAGAAAGAATCCACCGAATCTTGGCGTTCTCACTGGAGTGCTCAACCACATGCTTCGCTCTACAACATCAACTCCTATCATCTACGACTCTCACATCCGTGAATCTCTTGCCCTACTCGAGTACAGAAACATCCTCGAAACTGCAGGAATGTTTTTCTTACACGACTTCGACATCAATAGCGACACCTGCCTGACTGAGGTGCAGCAAATCGATGACGTGCATGTACTGGCCCTCATGGGAGTCAATGCAAAGGCTCAAAGGGACCGGGCAGTGAGCAGAACTAATGTATGGCAAAGCACCGAGTCTGAACTGGAGGACTATCCTCTTGGTCGCACACCAACATGGACTCGACTCAAGGCAGCCATGTCAAACTCGCCTGCAATGATCATGAGACCCTGGGTGTGGTCACCCAGATTGTCCAACACTCAACTCTCCGTCGGACGTTCGGTGGTCATGTTCACTAGGCACATGTGGCTGATGCTCACACCCGAAATCTTCAAGGGCATCAGACCTCACCCAAACTCGCTTCAAGAGGCCATGAAGTGCTGGACAATCACCAGCATCGATGACACTCTCGCTGCAGTCGCATTTGAAGCATGCAATGCCGGGCTGAATGATAGTACGGGCGTCACTCCTGGTCGCATGGGTCCGAAGTCGAGGCCCTTCCTTGACAGGTGCACTCTGTTCTTTCCCGACCCTGATGCCGCCCATAAGGACAATACTCAGTGGTCTGGGCTTTGGGAGGGCGATGGATACATTGCAGAATTTCACAGGACGATGAAGGCGATGGATGAGGATCAGCAACAGTTGCTGAAACAGGGATTACGTGAGGTATTTTCGGAACTTCACTGCCTTCCTGCTAGCGGAGCAAGAGTGTGGACGCAAAAGAACGAATCAATTGTGTTCACGACCAATCCAATATTCTACAAGATCGATTGTATTGGAAGGGGAGGAGAGAGTCAGAAGAGGGCCCCAAAAGCACGTCGAACGATGAAGCTGATCAAGGGTAAACGCATATTTGCAGCCGACCTCATGGACTCACAACCCTTCGACACTGATGGCAATCTGCGGAGAAAGACAGAGAGACAGAAGCGGCGGGAACTTCAGAAGAAAATGACCATGGCCAGGAAAAACAAGAGAGTCCCCCCTCCCACACGTCCACGGAGACCATTTCCCATGACCCAACTAGAAGATATTGTGGAATGAGCGATGGATGTAGATGTACTGTATTAATCAATTTTGTGAATAGCACCTTGGCGCCACCATTGCATGAACTTGGGAACGCAAAACTGCCATGCAAGTGCTCATATACCAGATGAACCTCAATGGCAGCTAATGCCTTCATTCTTTGGCTTGATGTATAATGTAATGCGGGCAACGGGAAGACTAGGATTTAATTTATCATCTGACATCAGGCATTTATTCACATTTGTGAGACCCATTACAAAGGACTATGAGGTACAAAAGATGTGATATTGCCACAGTGCAAGACATAGTCGCACGCGCGAGGTTTTTTTATGCAAATGCAGCATCCACATACTCTTTTACGAGTTCAACCACTGTATATTGTGAACAAACTCCATGATGTCATTATGAGATCTTCTCTAGTCCATACCTCCACAACTGTAAATACCTGGTCAGCCACCTTGATCTGAAACTCAATGCGAGCTGAGGTTGGTTGACCACATCAGATGTACCCCACAATTCTTATCATTACACTCCTCTACCAATAGGTCTTTTGACTTGCTAGTAGCTAGATCAAACATATGTTTCATGATGATAGAACACAGTTCTGTCAAGCGTAGCTACCTAGGGACAGCATTTAACTTATGGACAGGCAATCATTCCTGGAGTCGCTTCTCTTGTAGTCTACATCAACAACCGCTGCCAACTCAACGAAGATGTGAATGTCACCAATAACATATTGGATACATTTACATCATCATTCATTGGTTGATTGCTAATGTAGACTGTGTTGGAGTTTCTCGGTCAAATCATAATGACATTACAACGAGGCACATTTACGAAGGCAAAGCCAGCCAAGAAGCAAAAGTCAGTCAAATCTAAGACTGGGACAACCTTTGTGTGTGAACAAAGGTCATCTGAGTCTTAGACCTGACTGACTTTCGCTTCTTGGATCACTTTGCCCTTGTAAGTGAACCTATTCATAATCCCATCAGGATTTGACCGATGTTGTTGGAATGATGCAAACAAGGTCAATAAATAGTTGCCTGGGTTGAGGGTTGGATTGGGCAGAGGGTTACACTGGGCAGAGGGTCGGATTGGGTAGAGGGCTTTGCAGGGCTGAGGGTTGGATTGGGCTGAGGTTTTCGCATTGGGTTAGTAACTGAATGCTTAGCCGCCTGGTTTGAGGTTGTATTGGGCCCAGGGCATGATTGGATGGAGATTGAATTTGGCAAAGGGTTTCCATGGGCTGAGGGCTGCATGTAGCTGCGGGCTGATGGTCAGTAATGGTGATGATATTGGTGTTCTGTGGAGCAATGTGGCTGTTGGTTGGCATAGGGTACAGATCATCAGAGCATTATGGCATATCAGTGTCTGATTTATTGTCAGGTTCATGCAGTCTATCCATCAATTTCTCAAGAACTAACTCATCCACATGACAGTCGGCTATGTGTTGGCCCATGATAAAAGTAGGTACACTTATCTTGCCATTGCACACAGAAAGGTTGTCCGAGTCTTAGATTTGACTGACTTTGGCTTCTTGGCTGGCTTTGCCTTTGTAAGTGTCCCTTGCCATAATGTAATTACAATGTCATTGATGTTGTTGCAATGATGCAAGCAAGGTCAAGAAAAAGTCGCTTGGGTTGAGGGTTGTATCAGGCGGGGTCGGGAGTTGGCATGAGTGGGGACACATAGAAAATACCATGACCTACCCAATGAAGTATATTTGAAAATGAAGATAGTTGCAGGATAGTCCAAATCCCAGTAATGACTGTACATTGTCTGTTCTTCTTGGTCCGGTGCTTCTTCCCCAAGGCTTAGCAAAATCTTAATGATAGAAAGTGAGGCATGGGACGAATTGATACACACCTAACCTGGTGAGTACGACCCTTTTTCAAGCGTTCATCTACCATCCCTTCACCCAAACGACTCGGAAGAATGTTGTGATCCTCCTTTTCTGGCTTTGACTTCTTGAACCTCCTTCTTCATGACCCCATCACAATTTTTGCACGTCTTCGCATATATTCGGTGTCTAGCTAGTCCCTGATCCTCCTCATAATTGAAGAGATTTGCCTCAGTAGCATCCCTCAAGGATGATACTACTAGCACGCCTCTCGAGGTATATATCCTTGTGACCCCCCAGAGTTCACATTCCTATTTCCTCGCCCCAAGTTCGCTCTGAGGGCTATTTGGGTGGCAAGGTCCAGGTTTTGCCAGCCAAGAAGCGAAAGTCAGTCAAATCTGAGGGATTTTCCCATTCATGGGCTCTGATAGAGGTGGCCATGATTTTCGCTCTGAGGGGTGTTTGGGTAGCAAGATCTTGGTCCCTCCTTTCATGGGGGAAACAGCTCTGATAGAGGTGGCCAAGAATTTCGCTTTTGTTACCTTTTCACTTTCTTGTTGGCTCTGGGGGCAATTTGGGTAGCAAGGTCCTGGTTTCCCCCCTTCATGTGGGATTCATCCCTGATAGAGGTGACCATGATTTTCGCTCTGAGGGGTATTTGGGTAGCAAGATCTTGGTCCCTCCTTTCATGGGGGAAACAGCTCTGATAGAGGTGGCCAGGAATTTCGCTTTTTTTACCTTTTCACTTTCTTGTTGGCTCTGGGGGCAATTTGGGTAGCAAGGTCCTGGTTTCCCCCCTTCATGTGGGATTCATCTCTGATAGAGGTGACCATGATTTTCGCTCTGAGGGCTATTTGGGTGGCCATGTCCAGGTTTTGCAAGCCAAGAAGTGAAAGTCAGTCAAATCTAAGGGTTTTTCCCCTTCATGGGCACTGATTGTAGCTAGAGTGTTAGAAGAAGCTCCGGACACCGCTTTACAAACTAACCAGTGAATTGGATATCCTTGAACATTAACTTTCTTCCTGCGGTTCCATCAGAGATGCAGTCAAATTCCACTGTATCATCTATTGCCCAAGGGCAACTTATTCATATGACAGTCGGCCACATGTTGGCCCACATGGCCTTGCCAGCCAAGAAGTGAAAGTTGGTCAAATCTAAGTGCTCCTTCCCTTCATGCAGGATTCACCTTTGATAGAGGTGGCCAACACTTTTTATTTTCGCTTCTTTTAACTTTTCACTTTCTTGTTGGCTCTGGGGACAATTTGAGTGGCAAGGCTCTGGTTTTCCTCCTTCATGCGGGATTCATCTCTGATAGAGGTGACCAGGATTTTCGCTCTGAGGGCTATTTGAGTGGCAAGGTCCAGGTTTTGCCAGCCAAGAAGTGAAAGTCAGTCAAATCTGAGGACTCCTCCCCTTCATGGGGGATTCATCTCTGATAGAGGTGGCCAACTTCTACTTATATTTTCGCTTTCATGGAGTTATGAAGAGAGACATTTATGAAGCCAAAGCCAGCCAAGAAGCGAACATCGGTCAAATCTAAGGACTCTGCCAGATTTTGCTCTAAAATCAAGTTCAAAAGTTGGCTGCCCCTGTCATGCAAGTCAATACCAGACAAGAAGCAAAAGTCAGTCAAATATCAGGACTTGGACAAGTCTTGTTTGTGTGAAATCCACCAAAGCCAAGAAGATCGTAAAAAAGCGAAAATATACATGTACAAGATGGCCACCTCTATCAGAGGTGAACAGCTTGGTCCCTGCTGTGCATTTCTGCATAACACCTCTGCAATTCACAATTTTGGCGTTTCATAAGGCAGATACAGGCAGGATCTAACACTCTGAACCTCGGAAACAAATCAGAAAGATTTATTTGCTGGTGCATCACAGTGGCATTGAGTGGTGAGCAGGCCCCCTCTGAGAGGACTGCATTCTTGCTTATGTAAGCAGCAGCAGCACCACACTCTCCTAAGATCGATTTTTACAGCCTTCATATGACTTGGGGAGGATAAGGTAGGACTTGATTGTGAGGTTATTGAGCAATCCAAAGACCATGGTCATGCCAGATTTGCACGAAGAAATCAATTCTCAAAGTTGACCACCGAGGTCATGCTGGCCCCCCACACATTGATTTTAACAGCCTTGATATGACCTGCTTGACTTCAGGCATGACTCATTTTAGAGGTTATTGGACCATACAAACACGTTGGTCGAGCCAGATTTCCCTCTAAAAATCATGTTCCAAAGTTGGCTGCCCCTGTCATCCTTCCCCCACCCAAAGATCGATTTTTTCAGCCTTCATATGGCTTGCTTGGCTTTAGCTAGGACTCGTTCTTGAGGTTATTTGACCATCTGAAGACGTTGGTCGAGCCGGATTTTGCTCTAAAAATCATCTTCCAAAGTTGGCCACCAAGGCCATGCTCCCCCACCCAAAGATCGATTTTTCTAGACTTCATATGACTAGCCTGTCCTTCAGAAGCATTTTTCCTGGGGGTTATTGAGCCCTCTGAACACGATGGTCATGCCAGAATTGCCTGGAAAAATCATGTTCCTGAGATATACAGGGTCCTCCCCCTCCTCCTGACCTCCTGTATGTCACTATCCCGGTATTCCGCCTCAATACCGATACTGAAAACATCTCTCCTAGGGTATTTGAGCCCTCTGAATCGATTGGGAATGGTCCCAGACCTTCCGGAGGTCGGCATTCATGTGATATGGGAGGTGGGCTCAAATATCAGTAATTTGGATATATCTCCACAACCGAACCGCCGATTTTCTTAATTGTTGGCTCATATCCATCCCAGAAGTACCCTCCATGATATGTACCAGCCCACCAAAAGATATTTTTTTACAAGTTTGAAACCTATTTCTGTTTTGACCCTATAAGTGGCATTGAGTGGTGAGCAGGCCCCCTCTGAGAGGACCGCATTCTTGCTTATGTAAGCAGCAGCAGCACCACACTCTCCTAAGATCGATTTTTACAGCCTTCATATGACTTGGGGAGGATAAGGTAGGACTTGATTTTGAGGTTATTGAGCAATACAAAGACCATGGTCATGCCAGATTTGCACGAAGAAATCAATTCTCAAAGTTGACCACCCAGGTCATGCTGGCCCCCCACACATCGATTTTAACAGCCTTGATATGACCTGCTTGACTTCAGGCATGACTCATTTTAGAGGTTATTGGACCATACAAACATGTTGGTCATGCCAGATTTCCCTCTTAAAATCATATTCCAAATTTGACTACAACCCCTGTCATGCCCCTCCCCCCCACCCAAAGATTGATTTTTTCAGCCTTCATACGGCTTGCTTGGCTGTATCTAGGACTCTTTCTAGAGGTTATTGGAGCATCTGAACACATTTGTCGAGCCATAATTGCACAATAAAATCAAATTCCAAAGTTGACCCCCTAGGCCATGCTGGCCCCCCCACACATCGATTTTTACAGCCTTCATGTGACTTGCCTGGCATCATGTAGGACTTGATTTCGAGGTTATTGAACACTACGAAAAGGATTGTCGAGCCAGAATTGCACAAAGAAATCAAATGCTGAAGTTGACCCCCTAGGCCATGCTGGCCCCCCCACACATCGATTTTTACAGCCTTCATGTGACTTGCCTGGCATCATGTAGGACTTGATTCCGATGTTACTGAACACTCCGAAAAGGATGGTCAAGCCAGAATTGCACGCAGAAATCAAATGCTGGAGTTGACCCCCTAGGGCATGCAGGCCTCCCCCACATATCGATTTTTACAGCCTTCATATGACTCGCAAGGGTTGATGTAGGACTTGTTTCCGAGGTTATTGAACACTCTGAAAAGGATGGTCGAGCCAGATTTGCATGAGAAAATCAAATTCCGAAGTTGACCACCAAGGCCATGCTCCCCCACCCAAAGATCGATTTTTTCAGCCTCCATATGGCTTGCTTGGCTTTAGCTAGGACTCGTTCTAGAGGTTATTGGACCATACAAACACGTTGGTCGAGCCAGATTTCCCTCTAAAAATCATGTTCCAAAGTTGGCTGCCCCTGTCATCCTTCCCCCACCCAAAGATCGATTTTTTCAGCCTTCATATGGCTTGCTTGGCTTTAGCTAGGACTCGTTCTTGAGGTTATTCGACCATCTGAAGACATTGGTCGAGCCGGATTTTGCTCTAAAAATCATCTTCCAAAGTTGGCCACCAAGGCCATGCTCCCCCACCCAAAGATCGATTTTTCTAGACTTCATATGACTAGCCTGTCCTTCAGAAGCATTTTTCCTGGGGGTTATTGAGCCCTCTGAACACGATGGTCATGCCAGAATTGCCTGGAAAAATCGTGTTCCTGAGATATACAGGGTCCTCCCCCTCCTCCTGACCTCCTGTATGTCACTATCCCGGTATTCCGCCTCAATACCGATACCGAAAACATCTCTCCTAGGGTATTTGAGGCCTCTGAATCGATTGGGAATGGTCCCAGACCTTCCGGAGGTCGGCATTCATGTGATATGGGAGGTGGGCTCAAATATCAGTATTTTGGACATATCTCCACAACCGAACCGCCGATTTTCTTAATTGTTGGCTCATATCCATCCCAGAAGTACCCTCCATGATATGTACCAGCCCACCAAAAGATATTTTTTTACAAGTTTGAAACCTATTTCTGTTTTGACCCTATAAATTATCATCTTTATGTGTATGCTTTGCGCATCTAGATCCAGATCTGGATCCGCACTCCACAACCCAACCGTGCGAACAAAAATCCTCGCATCTAGATACGACTCTGGATGTGCGCCCTTCTCTGCCATCCACCCATGATGTGCACTGTCGTCGACACATATGTGTACGATATCATGTGTACACGATGCGAATGTAGGATTGGATCTGGATGTGCGTCCTACCCGCCATATCAATCATATGTCCGCTATGATCCGCATCCATGTCTGCTTCTGCATTTCCGTCCTGTACACATGATATCGTACACATATGTCTCGACCACAGTGCACCTCTCTATCAGAACCTGAATTGATGAGATCTCCGGATTTCTGGTTTCTCCAGCTCGAAGCGAATCGATGCTCCAGCTTTCACGACTCTGGCAACTTGTTGGATCTTCCCTCTCTACCGTTTGTCTTTCCCCTCCCGTCCACATATGTCTACGATATCATGCTTACACCATGCATATATGTAGAAACCCATCTTGACCACGGTACAGAGGGAAGATCCAACAAGTTGCCACAGTCGTGAAAGCTGGAGCATCGTTTCCCTTCGACCTCGAGAAACCAGAGATCCAGAGATCTCATCAATTCAGTTTCTCAGCGAGCCACATAACCTGACATATTTACTTATTTACTTATTTACATCTTTTACCTCGTTGCCCCGAAATAAACTCATCCAGAGCACAGCAGTGCTATCAGCCTGCCAGCTTGCCAGCTTGCCCCTACCTCCAGTCAAGTCCCCTTCATATCACACGTCATATCACCCTACCACATCCCAGAGTCCAGTGCTCCCTGCCTCTCTCCCACCACATTCCAGATGCAATCTGCCAGAATAAAATTTACCCCCATGTCTGCATCTCGTACATTCTTGATCTGTTTTCCATACAACAATCTGTGGGCAGCACAATTAGATAAACAGTACCATGTACGGTATGCTAAAAGGCTCACATGACCCTCTTGTTGCGGGGTGCCCTTGTATGCCCATCCAGACCTCATTCTACATTTCCATCGTGTAAACATGATATCGTACACATAGGTCTCAACCACAGTGCATATCCAGAATCGTATCTAGATGCCCATTTTTTCTTCCCGCCCTTGTGTTGTATGGTGTGCATCCAGATCTCGTTCTACATCCCCACTGCATAAACATAAACATGATTTCTACATGTATATCATAGGTGGATTTAGGCGCTAATACATAAAAGCCTCCCGACATATATATTATAGGTGGATTTAGGCGCTAATACATAAAGCCTCCCGACATATATATTGTAGGTGGATTTAGGCCCTAATACATAAAGCCTCGCGTAATACGGATGAGGCTGCATTCAGGCAAGCCTTCTAACGTAAAGTCACAATGCCAACCTACCGCGACCCATATTTGCATTCAGAGTCCCACTGAATGTCTGGATTCACAAATTTTGGCAAGTATCAGTTGAACTTTGCGAACAAACATGAATTGTCTGATGCGCATCCAGATCTCCTTCTACATCCGCACTGTATCAACGACAGTACACATATTGTACCAGTGTGGGCACAAAAAAATGCGCATCTGCATATGATTCTGGATGTGCACTGTGGTTGAGACATATGTGTAGAATGTCATGTTCATACCGTGCGGATCTAGAACCAGATCTGGATGCGCACCATCCAACACACCCGTGGGAACAAAAAAATGCGCATCTAGATACGATTCTGGATGTGCACTCCTTGATACATATATATGTGCAAGTTATCATATTTACATGATGCAAATGTAGAATCACATCTGCATGAAACATGAATTGTATCATGCGCATCCAGATCTGGTTCTAGATCCGCACAGTATGAACATGACATTCTACACATATGTCTCAACCACAGTACACATTGTACCAGCGTGGGAACAAAAAAACGCGCATCCAGAATCGTATCTAGATGCGCGTTTTTGGTGTTCTCACGCGTCTCTGGTATGGTGCGCATCTGGATCTGGTTCTAGATCCGCAAGGTATAACATGACATCATACACATGTATCAACGACAGTGTACATCTAAAATCAAAACTAGATACGTGTCGTACCAGTGTCGGAACAATCTGTACTGTTGTTGATACAATGTATGTGTATGTGTATGCAGTGCGGATCTAGAACCAGATCTGGATGCGCACCATACAACACAACCGTGGGAACAAAAAATGCGCATCTAGCATCGTATCCAGATGTGCATCGTACCAGACATATCAATCATGTGTGGTAGATACTTGGTCTTCATGTTCGAAGAAGTGTGATTATACAGTAATGTACACTACAAAAATGGCTGGTGAACCTGTACCTGACCCTAACCTACTTACAAAAAGCCCTAATAAATTGTATGGTTGCTAACGAAACACTTCAGGCGACGTCTTCGAGCTGAGAAGGCAGGTCTAGGGATCCATGCCACGGACATTCAAGAAGGGAAGGTCGTTCAACGGAGTAATAGTCTCCAACGTCGGATCGAGGCCTGGGTCAAAGTCCAGGAGCTATACATGCCGATGATCGCAGCCTTACGACTGAAAAACAAGTCCAGTGGTGTTGTCATCACTCCCGAGTCATTTGATCTTCTCCTTCCTTCGCAAGTTGGCAGAACGGATCCTTGCGACCTCAAATTTCAGAAAATTGAATGGAGACTTCGATTCGCACAAGCTCACGACACACTACGCTCGCTACGTTCTAATCTACGTGCGCAAACCGCTATCCTGAAATATAAGGATCGTAATCTCCGCGGTCAAGGCTCAAACACCCGAGCTCGTAACACGCTCAAAGGCGTTGACGCAAGAATCGAGGCAGCATCAACCCGATACCAGGATGAGCGCAGAGCGCTGGTGATTCTTGCTCCCATCGTCGAGGAGACGGGATGGCAAGCCTCCCTACGTCCACTCGATCGTCAAGATATTCGAGGGATGTCGGATGTCCTGTGGGGCGAGACTGAGGGAAGAAGAAAGCTTTCATGGATATGGAATATGCGCGGTGCTCATGGAGACGAGCTGGATGATGATGGATCTATGGAAGGTAAGCTTACCAATTTGTTCATGCACCCTATCTCACCGGCACTCTATCCAGATATGCGAATAGAATGGTGCAAGGCCAGGGCGCGCGCTATGCGGTGGAAGGAGGAGCTCGAGCTGTTACGAGAGGAGATGCGGAGAACTCTGCAGTTCTTTGACTGGCAGGCGATGTCGTGGGATGAGCGCGCAGATCAGAACTGGTCTGGTAGTCCCGCCGAGAGAGAGGGCCGGATTGCATATGCTCGACGTCAAGCAGCCTTGCGTCGGGCACTGCGGGACACGTGTCATTCCAGTTGGGCAGACACTCGCTCGTTCGTGGACCAGTTCCATGGGGAATCCTAGCGCTTGCATGTAGTATCCTTCACATAGTTCATGTACCCTTCACGTAGTTTTGCAATACAGGTGTTGACTAATGTACGGGTGAAGGGCGGGGGATGCAGTGGGCGGGATCATCAATGCACGGGTGAAGGGCGGGGGATGACGAGTAGCGTGATGCATCAAATAAAGGGCGGGGGATGCATCAGACGAATAGCGTGATGCATCCCCCGCCCTTCATTTGATGAAGGGCGGGGGATGACAAATAGCGTGATGCATCAAATGAAGGGCGGGGGATGCATCACGCTATTCGTGTGAAGGGCGGGGTGAAGGGCGGGGGATGACAGCCATGATGCATCAAATGAAGGGCGGGGGATGCATCACGCTAAAGGGCGGGGGATGCATCAGACGTATAGCGTGATGCATCCCCGCCGTTCATTTGATGCATCAGAAGCAGGTGTGCATGCATCACACAGCGGAGGCATGCATCACATTATGCAGGGTATTGTGCAGGGGGGGACATGCATCACTCATGCATCAGGGGCTTTAGAATTGTAACGTTGTTGCATCACAACAGTACTACAGTTACAACAATTCATGCATAACTATGACAGCAACCTGTGATTGATGATGTGCTCTACACAGCTCTTCGGCTGGGACTTAGATTCGTTATGGCAAACCGTCAACCAAAGACGGTGCGAAGCATCCCTCCGCGCCGATCGAGTGATCGAAGCTGTCGAATCCCATCAATACATGATGCGTATGCTTGACGGGGATGCGAAGAGCAGCTGCCTTGAATGGTCTACTGGTGAGTGCGTTGGCATCTCCGACAATTTTAACATCGAGACTTATTCTGGTGTCGATGAGCCTTCACGCAAGACTGTACTGTGCGATGTGTCGCAAAGGCAGCTGATGCCATTGCTGCGGGCAATCACGAGATGGCTATTGAACTGTATTCGGCTGCGATCAGGCTGGACCCCTTCTGCGACCCCCCTTTTTGCGCACCGCAGTAAGGCCTATTTGGCACGAAACCTTTATGCGGAGGCTCTTGCTGATGCCGACAAGGTGCAGATAATATCCATCATTTTTTCTGTTAACTATGCTGATTGCATAAATGCATAGGTCATTTCGCTCAACCCTTCTTCTTATTGTGGGTTTGAACTGAAGCATGCGGCACTTCATGGTGCTCAACTCTACGATGAAGCAATCGAGGCTTTCAAAATCATGCTCACCAATTTGAATCGTGCTCCCGACCCGCAAATACGAAGTAAGTCCCGAGTCACTCATTCGTATCCACTCAGACAATTAAGTCTTTATCCAGAGCTGTGTGAACAGTATGTCAGTCCATTTGAAGCAGAAGACGCTATTCGAAATGTCATTCATACGCAACTGGATAATGCGCCGCTTCGTCTACTCAACACCTCCACTGGACGTTTGTGCGATCGAGAGGCACAAATAAGCGCCTTCATGGAAAGCATAGAGTACAAGGATATTTCATATTCATCGATGACACGTGCGCCCCTCCAAACCGAGCGCATTGCAGAAGCGGTCGTGAAGTACTTCAGTTGGGCCATGCTATCGCATAGGTGGGAACGCAAAGAGCCGCTGCTGCACGACATTCAGGACAAAAACGTGTACACGATGGATCCAGTTGGCGCTACAGCCAAGTTGCAGAAGTTCTGCGAAGTTGTTCGTGGGGCAGGGTATCGCTGGGCGTGGATCGATACATGCTGCATCAACCAGAGCAACAATGTTGAGCTCCAACGATCAGTCAACTCCATGTTTGTCTGGTATCGCCGCTCAGCTCTTACGATTGTCTACCTCTCGGATGTTCCGCCTTCATCGAAGTCCGGCGCATTGGCAAAGAGTGCTTGGAACACGCGAGGTTGGACTGTTCAGGAGTTCCTGGCTCCCAATATCCTTCTCTTCTATCAAAAAGATTGGACCCCTTACCTCAACGACCTCTCTCCCAACCACAAAGGGTCTATCACTATCATGCAGGAGTTGGAGGATTCAACAGGCATAAACGTACAGGCCCTCGTTGCCTTCCGTCCGGGCATGACATACGCGCGAGAAAAACTTCAATGGGCGTCGACACGTGTCACAACATTACAGGAAGACATTGCATATTCATTGTTTGGTATTTTCGGCGTCCACCTACCTGTCATCTATGGTGAGGCGAAACAAAATGCGCTCGGGCGACTCTTACAAGAAATCGTCGCTCGGTCGGGTGACATTACTGCCCTGGATTGGGTCGGAAAATCATCCGAGTTCAATAGTTGTCTGCCAGCTGAGATCGCCTCGTACAGCGCACCGCCATTCACGCTGCCGTCTCTATCCGAAGACGAGATGCAGACTTGTGTGTCCAAGCTGCGAAATGTTGTGGCCAAGGAGTCAGCTTCGACACTATATGCCCACCTTGACAACCTCAGTGCTCCTCGTTTTGCGTGCTCCAGACTGCAACTACCCTGCATCACTTTTCCTGTCACAGAAGTCAAACGGAGGCGCGGTGAAGACTCGGACCGGGAGACGTGTTTTGCATATGATGTCAAGGCAGACGGGCTTCGAGACGTGTTGATCACCACCGGAGACAAGCTGATTCAATTCTCGCCAGCAAGGCCTACCTGGCAGACATTCTTGCTCATCCGTCCGTGGAATCGACATGATCTCGATCTGCCTGGCTTTTCAGACGATACGCGGAGTATGGCCGAGTCCGTGCCAGAGTCTGCGTTAGATGGATCGGTTGATACGGAGTCTCATTCGCGAGAGTTGAGGTTGATCATTCGCCTTGGACGGCCTTTTGGCGCACTTTTATTAGCAAAGCAGCATGGTGGGGAATACAAGAGAATCGCATCGGATTATAATATTATGGCGCGGGTTAAAGACACGACTTCTGTTGATGATATGATGGACATTAGAACGCTAGAGATATTGTAGTTGTATGGATTCTTTGCTTTTCGTCATCCTTTGTTTCCCCGCTGCACTCAGATGCCCTTTGTCTATATCATAGAAATAAAAGATACTAGTGGGACCCCCGAGCCATCATCCAAAAGGAACTTTGTACAAACAGTCAAAGAAGTAGATGCCGATTATTATATGAAACATCTCTTTGCGTGAAACATCGCGGCTGTTGTCTGGTACAGTACATGCCATAACTTATAGTCCATCTATGCATCACGGTTACAGTCACAGATTATCCCACTTCGTAAAACCTGTCATAAACAATATGCAGTTACCCCAGAGTAACCACCCGAATCCCGATCACCTCCTGTCCTCAAACGGATTTTCCGTGTATTCCAACTCATCATCACTATCGTCTCTGTGAGTAGGCGGAGCCTGTTCCCGAAGAAGTGATACAGGTCGTTTAGGCAAAAGTCCAAATTTAGCTAAGGCATAATGAGATTAGAGACGCATGACAGCGAGAGGGAATTACTGACTGGCATCGATCCCACTTGGCGTGCCTACACCTGTCGATGGCGGTCTTGGTGTGTCGCCCGACCGCTGAATAAGTTCAGGCGGGGGGGACGTGCCCATACCTGTGGTCGGCGGGGAATTCGTCGATGATCCTGCATAGGTTGAACTATTGCCTGCAAAGGACGTAGGATTAGGTATAGGCTTGGTGGCGAAGTTTGGGGGAGCGTATGTAGAGCTTGGGACGAGAGTAGGATTGGAGTTCGCCCTTAGATTTGAGCTGGGAATGGGAGGAGATTGCCATCCGCTTCCACGAATTCCACTTTCGGCCGGTGGATTAGGGTCATAGTAGGATTCATGGCGTTGCGGATTGGGATCGTGGTATGGAGGCTGATACTGGGGCTGGGATGATGTGGGCTGTCCACCGTTCCACGAAGATTGGGACGTTTGTCCCCAAGTAGGTTGTGTATCCCGTCTGTAACGAAGATGTTTTAGCGTAAACAGGGGCGAACGAATTGAAGAAAAGAATGTCGAAGAAAATGGCAATATAGAGGATGAATCTAATGAAGGAGCTTCGAGGTGACTAAAAAAAAGGGATGCAAACCTGGATGGTCCCTGACCCTGGCCCTGACCCTGATCGAATTCCTGCATCTTGGCTTTGACCTTTGAAACAATTGAAGAGAATGTCTTCTTTCCAGCTGATTTTTCGTAGTCAATAACTGCCCCTGACACGAAATATCAGAACACGTACTCTCCGCTATCTTGTTAAAACCATCTTGGAACTCCGCCATAGTGTCTCGTTGCGGTGGCGCAACCACCTGTACCGTGTTGTCATACCTTCCGGTTTCATCTCCACCTCCACCTCGGCCTCGACTAGTAGACCGCCTCGACTGATAAGACTGGTTCCCTTGGTCCTGCTGTGGAGGGCGCCACTGATTTTGCGCAGCTTGCTCTTCCTCGAGCATGAGACGTCGGGCGAGTTGCTCGTCTAGGTCAGTCTGGGTAGGCTCATGCTGCACCGGGGCCGGCAGCGGTTGCGAGACATAATCGGGATCGCTCATCCCCAACAGTGTGTCAATTGCTAGATCCTGATCACCATTGACACTCTGAAGTACAGATGATCTGCACGGCATTTCAGCACATATGACTTTACAAAGCACTGTCTACACACAGTAGAGAATCATCGAAATCGGGGAACATGGCGCGCAGGATCGTAAGGCGTGGGTCCACATTATCATCAGGAGAACGCTGCGGAAGGGCGGGAGTGTTCTCTGCCTGGGTAATAGCAGGAGGTTGGGGCGAAAGAGTAATCATATCACTAGGTTGTGGTGATTGGGGCTGGGATGGAGATGCTGCAAAGGCAGGAGGGGGAGATTGTTCGTGATCGTGTATTCCAGGTGGTGAAGGAGGAAACTGGTGCGAGTCCTCTGATTCAGAAGGCGGTGATGATGAGGCTGGGTTGGCTATATCTGGCGTATCAGTTAGTCTAAGTATTTGCATTGAAAGCAGACATATGACCAAAGTTGCTCACCTCGAGGCAAGCCATCATATTGGCTCCCATGTGGTTGGTTGGTCTGGGTCATCGTTGGAAGAACGTTCGAGCAATCTAAATCAATGGAACCGAGCCCTTAAGTTATGTAGATGAGAGTCTAATGCGAGTCCGCAGCCATACGCAGCGACTGACTGACATATACGTAGCTGGCCAAATATAGTAAGTACATGTCGGTGCGCCGGGGCTGCTGGCCCATTGCCGGCCGCGGTGTAAGCAATGTAAAAATGTGCGCAGCTCGCAGCTGGTGTCGATATCATGCACGGGCTAGTTCGACGACGACAGAGTATTCGGTGGAAAGATTTTGACGAAGAGCAAGACAGTCGTTCCTTCTGTACCGGTGGTACTAAACGGTTCATGTTCAAACTCTGTTCAACAAATTTGTTGTCTCAGTCATCGCGAGACCTTCACCTATCTTTGCGGCAACTTTACTGATAACATCGCTTGGAGCTCTTTCACATTTATTTCCTAGTCTTTGAATCATGGACGATTTCCTTGCTTGGTTTCAACACCATGGTGGGGCCTTGGACACTTCATCGGTGGGCATCACCGATTTTCCTGGCAGTGGACGTGGTGCAATCGCACTCCAGGATATACCTGTTCGTCTCCTCCCATCCAATTCGTTCCTCACCTCACATTTCCCTCAGGAAAACCACACAATCTTCACCCTTCCTCGCTCATTGACACTTTCCACCCAGACCTCGACCCTTCCTTCTGCGTTTGGTTTTGAAGCATGGAGAAAGCACAAACTACACAAGGGTTGGGTTGGGTTGATTCTTTGTATGATGTGGGAGGAAGCGCAAGGCAATCAAGGAAAGTGGGTCACCTACCTCAGTGAGTCTTTCTGCACGACCACTCGTCAGTCTCCGAGTCTCAATTCGATATACAGCATCACTCCCGACGCAATTCGATACCCCAATGTTCTGGAGTGACGAAGATCTACAAGAGCTCCAAGGGACGGCTGTGGTAGGTCTGTTATCAACTTTTTCATAGCTTCTACACAATTTTCGTCACATGGAAGGGGGCGCACTTGGCTGACCCTAATGAAATCTAGACAAGATAGGTCGGAGTGAAGCTGAGCGCGACTATCACGAGAATCTAGTCCCAGCGATTAAGGTAAATCTATCTTTTCGCTTTTCCCCACTTGGACTCACATCTTGGACGAATTTAGACTCGACCGGACCTGTTTCCCTCCGATAAAATCGATACATGGTACACACTCCATCGGTACCATATTACAGGCAGCCGAATTCTGTCTCGAAGCTTCAATGTAGAGAGGTGGGAAGGCGAAGTCGAAGTTGAGCAGGATGCCGAACAAGTTCTAGAAGACAGTAACGAGGACACCCAGGCCAACACAAGCATTGGGAGCGCAATGGATGTTGACGATTCAGGCGACGGTGGTGAAGCTGCTGACGAAGAGAGCAGTGATAGAGACAGTGATGATGAGGATACAGAGGATATACCGGAGGAGATTGCAATGGTTCCTATGGCTGACCTTCTGAATGCTCGATATAACTCTGTTAATGTAAGTCGTGTGGACATGGAATCTCTCTCTGTCCCAGTCTTTCTTTGCACTTGCATGGCGTTCATGCAGCTCTTCACAGGCTAAACTTTTCTACGAGGAGCACCATCTTCACATGGTCACCACGAAGCCCATCAAAGCTGGGGAACAAATAGTAAGTCAGTCCTCACTAAGTGATTCTGCCGGTTCACGTACATTCAAGTTCAATACATATGGCGACCTACCCAACTCAGACCTCCTCAGGCGCTACGGACATGTTGATCTTCTTCCGTGTCCCCATCTCAAGGGTGCGCTTGGAAATCCACAAGACATCGCAGAGATACGAGCAGACCTTGTTGTTAATGTCGTTTGTGCTGATAATCCTAATGGCGAGACGCATCGCCAGCGGATCGAGTGGTGGCTTGACGAAGGAGGTGATGAGTATGTACTTTACTCGCTCCTTTCTTTTTATGCTCATGTACCACATCTAGCGTTTTCATCATCGACAGGGACCCAATTCTCCCTGCAGCGCTGACATCATTGGTCAGACTTCTGCTTCTCTCCCAAGACGAATGGGGAAAGACACGAGAGAAAGGGCGTCCCCCAAAAGCCAAGTTCGATCACCAGGTCTCCCAGATATTGCGACGAATATTCGAGATACGGCTGAGCAATTACCAATCTCCAGATCTCGACGTATGTTCATCCAATCATTGTTCCACTCGGGGATCGGTGACATGGAAACTATTCCTCGTTTTAGGTTGACGCACAGCTCCTTGTGTCCGAATCGCTCACGCTCAACACGAGACACGCTATTATAGTACGGCTTGGGGAGAAACAAATTCTGACCGGCGCGCTTGAAACGCTGCGCCTCATGGACGCGGCATTGAGTGACAGCGGAAGTGTCGGATCTAAAGGCAAGAGGCGTGTTGTGAGCGGAGGTATGACGGATGGGGGGAAATCGAAAAAGGCCAGGCATTGACCCTACGAAGGCCTATGCATAGACTGACCCACGCCAAGTCCCCGTCTTCTATGCACCAACCTCCTGGTCGTTATCAGCATGCAGTGCAAAAAAATGGAGGTTACCGAGTAGCTTTGTCAACTAGCCGCTACTGGTATACCGATCATGTCGCTAACCCTTCCAACAGTCACTTCTACCTATCACATCGGTGTTGTAGCTGCTGGCCAAAATGATAATGTAACGCTACATTCCATCAATCGAATATTCTAACCTATAGTTGGCAACCTGGAGGGCACGCGGCAACAAACGATGCATGACAAGCTCCTCCTGGCATCAGAACATCCTATAGAAATATGCAAATAACGTTCAAAAGAAATACTTTTAGTAAGGTTCATCTTTCAACGGGTCCAAGCACGCTGTCGAGATGTGAAAACGACTCTATATATATGCGTCTTCCCTTCCAATGCTGTTGATCCCAACAGGTTCTGTGGTGGCGGATGCTAGCAGAAGGGCTGGTGTCCCATCGATTATCGATCGTCCCACTAGTCTTTTATCAGCTCGATGGGGCAGCTCTGACGCCCACCGGTTATGCTCGGTTATGCCGCTCCAGCGTCTAGAGTCAGTTGCTTCCGGCGGAACGGGGAACTTATTTGCGATGATAACTTCTGGATGGGTGTGTAATCGTAAGTGACTGGGGGATGCATCACACTCATGTAAATTTTGGCCTACCTTGTGCTGGCGTCGCGTCCACGTTGATTGGAAACTTTACTATAGTTCATCTGCAGGGTCGTGTACTTGCGCCGTATCGCATATGGATGATCTTATCTCTGGCCTCCGAGCTCATCCATGTTAAGCTCTGTCTTTATATTAACGTCTGATGTAGAGTTTCCAACTCAACTACCCAAAGAATTATAGTAGTAAAAAAAGAATGTGTCAAGTAGAATCATAACATGGCACGAGGACCCGTAAGAGCATGTCCATGGTGGTGCCACCATTTCTCTGCTTCTTCGTCAGCGTCATAGCCAAACTGAATTGTGTTCTTTGCCTTGTCGGCCCACTGGTTCGCATTACCTGCCAAGGCCAACGTACTCCTCTCACCACGCGCCACACGTAGAGCGTCTTCCATCGCGGTACGCATTTCCCTGTCTCGTTCCTCCTGCTGCGGGCCATCGGGAAGATGGAATGTGTGTTGATTCAAACGAGACGAGAGCTGCGTGGCGGTTGCGCGATCATAGCGGATGGATTGATATGCGTAAAGCAGGGGAACAATCTGAGAGCGGTGCGCGAGGTGAGAGAAAAGGTTGCCCAAAACAGCAGCATCTTCGACCTGAAAAATATATCATGTTGTAGGTTGTGGTCACATGAATCCTTTAAAAGAAACGACTTACAGCCATTGCGGAGCCTTGGGCACGATATGGCTTAGTAGTCGAATGAGTTAGATGGCACTAAACGGAGATAATGAGACTTACAAGCATGGGGTGGCAAGAATCTCCCAAAAGAACCAGTTTCCCGTCCTTGTGTATCCAAGTTTCAAGGGGGTCGCGGTCCATTAGTTTCCATTTCAGCGTGGAGGGGATCAAGGCCAAGAGCTTCTGAATGCTATTTCAATTCACGAGTAAGGATGTGGTTCACGGTTAATGAAAGTGAAAAACACTTACCGAGGTTCCCAACCAGCAAACTCAGCCCTCATTTTGTCCGCGCTGCCCGTGGCAGTCCATGATTCCTCGCCGCCGTCGTCAGGATGTGCCATCACGAGATTATACTCTTTTTTACCGCGCTGCGCAGGTGAAATGAGAAAGACTCTGATGTGCGGGAAAATATTAACCCCGTACGATGTTATACCCCATGATATGGCGTCGTGGACCTATCCAACCGACCATTTCAGGTTTTTCAGCCAGGGGCCGGAGGTCCGGGTCTTGAAGAAGCTTTTCTGTCGGGATAGTGGCCCTGTACGCGGCGTCCCCTGTGGGTCGCGCTCGATCTGGACCACCTACGACATACTGGCGCAAAACACTTTTAAGTCCGTCAGCACCGATGACTAAATCAGCGTGCACGACTTCGCCAGATTCGAGAGTGAGGGTAGGTTTTGACGTGTCCATGGAAACAACCCGGCAATTGGTGCGAATGGTACAATGAGGCTCCGCCAGTTCAAGCACCATGCGATGAAAATCAGAACGCTGCATATACAACCTTGATCAGTTTCACAGTACTAGACACCAAGTGAAGCTCAAACTCAACGTGGATGTGATAGTAAGGGGCCCCATACTGCTCCTCCATAGTGTCTCCCCACATTGTCCATGCAACAGTCTCACCGGTGCACCCTACGAGGCGAGAGGGATGAGTTGTGTATATGAACATAGGTTTAATGACTCACATCGCTTGAAGACCAATCCTTCGGGCTTGACAGCGACTTCCTCGAGGCGCTTGCCCAGACCCCAGCGGATAAGAAGGCGGGTCAGATTTGGGCCCATCTGGATACCGGCACCAATCTCTCCAATTGTGGAAGCGGCCTCGAGGATGGTTACTTTATGGCCAGCCTGGGCGAGGCAGTATGCCGCAGTGAGACCACCAAGCCCACATCCCACGACGACGACGTCCAAGGAAAGAGTAGCTCGTCGTCCGTGGTAGAGCTTGCCAGCCTGAAAATGCAAAGTCAGCCCTGTGACCGCCGGACCACTGAGAACATACATTTGCAATGCGTTTACTTGGACCTGTTGCTATTTGAGTCCTGTTGTCCATGGTGCTCTTGTGACTCCTGTGAGTTTTTGAAGACTATAGAGATAGTGGCAAGATACATACCATTAATGCAATGGAAGAGAAGGAGGTGAGACTGAGAGACGCGACATTTGTATTGTACAGGTGGTATTTAACTGAGGCCTGGTAAATGTTTCTGCGGGTGTGACATGTCGCCACCTATTTCAGCGTACTCGGCCCCTGCACGCGAGCAGATTACTAGTAGCGATTTGATCAATGATCATGGTGTTGAGCCGAGACAGAGGCGAGAATTTAGGAGGAGTAGTATTCCGCTTGTATTCTGCAGTGACCTCCTTCAAGTTGTACATGTGGCCTCTGTCACCTTGCAATTGACTGATGACGGTCTGCTAAAGTTCCAGCCTGTATCATATGGATGCTGATCTTTGCACAGTATTAAATAAGTATTCCTCGAAGCTTCAGGAGTACCGTAACACCCTGAGCGTTAATTCAATTCAATTGCTTACAAAGACCGTGCGGCTATATGAAGTGGCTAAACTATCATCCTTAGGGCTCCCGCAACCCCTGGAGCAAACCTGGAGCAACGTTAGCTGGACGCCGTCTAGTCCTTAATCAAATCTTCAACTCTTCAAAATCTCGACTCTGATGCCCATAGCCTCCTGGATCGGTCACGATGTCCTGTTCATAGTCAGGCCTTAGTATTTGCTACATCGATTGAAATATATCCTAAACAAGAACCGGAAAACTTGGTGCGACCCACCGGAAGTTCAGTTTTTGGGAGCATGCGCTCATACTACGCAACAGAAGGTTGTCAGGCTTGTGCGGGAAGTATATCTATGATTCCCTGACAACGCGGAACCAACGCGGAACATGAAGCCAGAGACTCCACCGACGGAGTTTAGCACAACAAACAAAAGTACGCACCTGCGAAATTTGAGCCGAGTTGGTGACGCGTTTGCCAGCATGCGCATGCGTTCAGGCGCATCCCTTTCCAGGTCATCCTATTGTTGTTGCCATTGTGCTAACAACAAATGAGACCGAGGAGACAAATTGATGCTTGGTATTCGTGACACTGGCGGGGTAAGATTGAGTTGTGCTGCCCCGGCCCGCAATAGGAGAAATTGATACCTGGCGATGGGAAGCAGAAGTTGCAGACGAGATAGATTCGCGTTTATATCCAGTAGTTCGAACGCTGGAGTCGAAGTCGAGACTCCCCGCATTGAAAGATGTTATTTTTCAAGACTGAAGACTTTTGAGACCCCAATATTTTCAGATCGCGCTCGGAGTCCCTGTATGCAGGCACCTAGAGCGTAGAGTATAAACCAATTGGAAGAATCTGTGAAGAAGACTTAGGATTGAGTGCAACATTGAAATCGTACCCGATGCGTACATAATGAATACATAATGCTCAAGTCACTTGACCACCACCTGCAGTCAGCGTTGCCACCCAGTGCAACTTCACCATGAACAATCGTATCACGCGCTCCGTACTGGAGGACAACCACGAAAAGCTCATCGATCAGTACCAAGCAAACCTTGCAGATGTGTCTGCTCTCCAATCAACCTTGGACGATGAGATCCTGTCCCATCTGGCCCAAGAATTGGCACTCAGTGACGCAGACCACACATGGGCGAAAGAATGGATCTCGGATACAGGTACATAATCCAGCATCAGATTCACGAAACCGTAAGTTGACAATAGTCAACCGCAGCAACCATTTTCCGTTTCTTACGGGTGAGTAAGAATGCCATAGTAGCAAGTGTCTCCGCTAAAGCCTTGGCATATAGCACCACAGATTCATTCGTTCATTTGCATTGGAGGCCATACACACGACACTCATTTGGCGTCTAAACGCGTTGCGACTCTCCGCTCTCCCTTCTACACTGCTTCATTGCCTTCCACCGCCGATCTGCGATCCACTTGGCCGTCCCCTCGTGTTTCTCCAGTTGTCAGAATTGCTGACTTGCGAGCAAACAATGATGGATAGGTTGTTGATCTCCCTCGAACGCCTGCGCATTCATCTGCGCTCGCTCAATACACACACTCTTGATAATGAGAATGCAAACCGTGAAATAATCCTCCAATGTGTTTTCCTCGTCGATCTTGAAGGTCTATCAATCCAATCGGCTGTATGTCATTATCAACGCCCATTAGAGCTAAACCTTTTATTCAGTTCCATGACAGAACCTTAAAATTTTAACATGGTTCATGAAAGAAGTAGTTCCCCGATACCCTGGAATGCTTGGTGCAGGTAACAACGCATCATGATATGCGACGATCAAACTCAACCTTGTTTTATGTTCAGTATTCCTCCTCAATTACTCTTGGACGTACGCAATGACCTGGTCCGTTGCAAAGTGCGTTTATTCCGTGCACGTTTTCGTTTTTTTTTGGACTGCTTGACCACATCTCAGGTGCCTACTTCCTAATTCCGCAGCTGCCCGAGTCTTCTTTCCATCCAGGGAGGAGCTTCTCCACTATTGCTCTCCCTCAGCGCTCCCATCTAGTCAGTCTTCCAATCTCGTTGCTCCACCCACCCTATCCACTTAGCAGCCATGGCATTAATTTAATATCAACATTTGTCAGACTATGGCGGTGCACTCTCGCCACTCCACCTCATTGAAGATCCACTCATTTCGGACGCCCATATGAATGTGGATGACGCTTCTCTCGCTTCACGTGAATGGTGCATGCCGGCGCCCATCATTGAGCTTCCTCTTCCTCTTCCTGAAACCTTACTCCGGCACCCTTCGTCCGTATTCATACCACCTCGATCCTCCCTCAACCCTTTTTTCGGCTATCCTACACTCGCTTCCCGTTCAAGACCGCACACGCACATGGTGCATCAAGGTCGCCGGCGGAAACGTGATCTACTCTTGACCCTCTCGGTGCTCTTGTGGCGAAGATGGAGAAGACGGGGCACACGCATCGTCTTACTGTTACTGCTTATCGCAGCCTGTCTCACACGGAAAAGAGTCGGGAGAGCAGCACGATGGATACTGGCGGTATCAATACCAATATCAATACCTGGCAGCACCCTGCCACGCATAACTTGGCCTGTATGATGAAATCGATGAACCGGTATATCATTTCGGCGGTGCTGAGAAGCCACGCAGCCAAGAAGTGCCGAGGCGTTTACATAACCATAACCTTGCCTTGTGATCTGCACACCTAGTCTGCATGTAAACATTATTGATTAATCAATCGTGATTCTCGACTAGGCGGAATGACACGTTCGCTTCTCCGGCGTGTAGCCCAGTCCTGGTTACTTTCGTGAACATTTCTGGCAAAGGCCAGGATGTCCGCAAGATTAGTACAGGACCATCGTGTGGGGTATAGTAAAGTATCGTCGTACTAGTACCAGTGTGGTCCGCACGATACAAAGGGTTTACATTTACTTGCTAAAGGTTCGGCGCCACAACCGCCGCCGGCAGTACTGTTTCTATCAAGAACGTTCAAGAGATCTGACGCAATCTAGAGGAAGTACTCGGGGAGCTAGGTGGTTCGTGTGAGCAAATTGGTCTATTCAAAGCAACACGGCGCGAGAGATGAACTTATGAATAGCGACGTACCTTCCCACCCATATTTTGGGGAGCCTGTTGACTCGGACCGTCGCGTTCGTTCTCCGGTGCAGCTTCGAACACATTGAAATACATGCTTTCTCCAGGACCCACCTCTAGTATACTCGCCGAATTGCCGCACCGATAACAATAGTTAGGCGCCGACCAAACCGTCGAAAGGTGCTTATCAAATAGTGACGAATAGCCTTCCATGCATAGTTGGTGCGCGCGCAAGATATGCGACATGTTGTTCGTTTCCAAGAACTTGTGTACAACGCCTGATCCAAATGTGTAGCCAGCCCCTCTGGATGCATGATCCGTTCCAGATTGAGAGATCATGATGAGATAAAAGGCGGGCGGTGCAAGGATAAGCCTCATTAGTCAATGACGCTGGTGATACGCTGGAGTAGGCACGGACCTTGGGGATATTGCAAAGTCTTCTTTCTCTGCATCAGGATCCGACCAGACCAAATCAGCCATTGGACCCTCGTGTGGGATTTCTGAAGGAAATGAGGGTGGGGAGGAATGATAACCGGGGGTATAACATACCTCGAAATCGATCTACGACTTTGATTTGATCTACGGAGTGGATAGATGGCGAAAGACCTGGGAGGGGGGATGGATCAGATCGTGATGGTGTGAAAGAAGAATGGCTGATGAACCTCCATGAACACAAAATATGCGATCATCGATTACCACAGACAGGGTCAAGAAGTCGAACATGTCGGTGAAATACGTCCATACATGTGATGAGCCGTATTTCCGCACACACTCCGTGTAAAACCCATAAGTCTAAGTTAAACATTGAGCGATAAGGGATGGCCATAAACATCATGAGTTGGTTGCTGACTTGTGTTACAGCCCTTGATTCATGGTTGCCACGGATTAACTGTACTCTGTCGGGGTAGCGGAGCTTAAGGCAGGTAAGGAGTGATATGGTTTCGACGCTGAAGAGGCCGCGATCGACGTAATCGCCTGGGGTACTATGAGAAAGGGAAATATTGATACTGGAGAAACTGACCAAGGAAAAGATAATTAGTGTGAGGCGCATAACCACCTATGCGGAATATTTCGATGAGGTCGTAGAACTGACTTGAGTTCCATGGTGAAATGGGATACAGTGATTTTAGGTACGGGGTACTCACCCGTGTATGTCACCGACGACAGTGACTGGTGCACTGACATGGACGACATTTGATTCCCGCATGAGAACTTCTTTTGTTTTTGCGCATATTTCGCGTAAGAGGGCCTCGTGTAAGAGCTGTTTGCGGAGGAGTTGCTGTATACACGCGTCAAGATCGAAGGGGGCCATGATTCTGCGGTCTCGTGCTCCTTGTGATTTGGAATCTGTTTGTTGAAAGAGTCACAAGCCACAGATGCGTGCCATGCATTTGTCCATGTTTGGATACGCTTCATCTGCTCCCGCACATAACATAGGCAAAGTTTCGTCTATCTTGGCGTTCTTAGGAAGTCTCGACCGGCGTTACTTCAGTCAGCAGTACTGGATTTATGAGCAAGGTTAAGTTTGGGAGTGGTCCTGGAAGAACGGAACTTTTCTCTCATCGTGCCTGCACAAGCCACAAACCCATTTTTACGTTGACATTTCAAGCTTGGGCGATCCTGAAATGAGCGCTGTGATTGGTGGAAAGTACTGAGTAAACGGCATATTCCCTTGACACCACTCCTCGAGGCTTTGTCGTGTCTTGCCGGGGTTGTACGGTGCGGGGTTTACTAGTACCTCTACTGTCAAATTGTGTAGAATGTGTGGTGATTCACCAATGTTTATTCTATCCGAGGAGATAGACGTCGAGGTCGATGAGCAGTTGTGTCCTCCAAGTTGTACCGTCGGTTCCGAAAAGGAAGACCGCTTCCCGAGGACAAGAACACGTGGATTCTTTGAATGTCGTCGACGTTGTCGTTCTTCTGCTCAAGATTAAATCGGGTGTTGAACGTGGAGTGCGCATAACCTTTATAGTGAACCTGACGTGAGTTTCATCTTCCATGTCATGGAAATCCGCAACCTCTTATCCCGGCGTTTCGTCAACGTACAGTGTTAATCGGGCCACATTGTTCGGGATGGACCAGGCGTAATCCTGCTAACCAATCCAAGATCCTGACCAACGTTCTCTGATTGGGCAATTATTTCACGAGGCTCATCTGGGATTTTCCGTGATTTTGACCACCGAGTAGGTCCCGACAGGGTCTAGTGTAAGTACGTCGCTTCTTTTCAATGGGTTATCTGACGACCCTCGAGCTCCTCCTCCCCCTTGGAGAATGACAAAACATTGAATAGCAAGGGTCACCATATGTAATGGATCTTTCCGTTTACCGTTAGATGAAAGCAGCATGCCCAAGACAAGTTGCTGCACAAGGGGTGCCATTGATATATATGCCTTACGAGAACAGGGCAGATCCGACTCGATCTAAAGTCAACTGTCCAGGAACTCACACTCCGCAAACTCTCTAGCCTCGTGATCTGTCTTCAACGATCTTCTCCCGTACACCACAAATGGAGGAGTTCTCGTTCTGAGCTCACCACACAGCATTTCCTCGGTAAGACCCCGTATCTGTCCTGTCCAATTGACTCTGTTCTAATTTTTTTTTTTTTTTCAATTCTTACTTCGATTGCTCCACCCGCTCCCGAGGTCATGAACCTTCTTACTGACGGAATTTAGCCTTCCGGATAATGAATAACTAGTGACAACCATGATTGGTCCATTTTGCGCCCACATGTGCAGTCCTTGATCTTCCACCGAATATCTCTCAATGCCGGAGTCACTCTTTCATACCGGAATTACGCTCTCAAAAGTAATGATTTAGTAACCGATCTATTCATTAAGGTACGTTGTCAACCCTGATATGACAGGCGACACCCGAACTCTTTCACTGCAAAAATGTATATAAGGGCTCGACAACTTCAAGAGCTGGGAAGTCTTTTACTACTCATCCATGCAGTACCCTAACTCGTACTCCCACAACGGCCAACCCCATGTCTCTACCCACCATCCCCGACAATCCTCTTCAAGCTCAAACACTCACACCTCTACATATCCCCAACAATCACAGGTATTATCGCCTTACCCACTTGACACCACTATGCCCAATGGCATAATAGGTATTACTACCATTCAATCCCGCTTTTATTAGCAACTAACTTTCTTGAACCAGGGAACCACTCTAATCCATTACAGGCCCATCTTTACCCGCAGCACGGGGCACCACCTATGGATCCCCGCAGGTCGTATTATCCTCCCCCTCCTGCCCCTCCTCCCCCGGCGAACCAGCCAAATACTTACTACCCCTCACACCATCACTCGTCTGGGCCAAGTTCACAATATGCGATAAACTCTCATACCCATATCGATCCCCAGTCTCTCCAGCATGCCCACTCACAATTCATTCCGACCCCATCACAGACGTATCAAGTGTATTCCAACACTGTACCATCGAATCCGCGCTCCCGCCCCTCCATCGAACCCTACTATCACATGTCCCCCAATCCCCAGCACACCACCCAAGGCAGCCCACCCCCTGCTGCTTCACGTTCCGCACACACATCCCCCTCCAGTAACCCGGCCCTTGTTGGAGATCGCTTTCCCTGTGAGCTTTGTGACAGGTCGTTTACACGTTCGCACGATAGAAGGAGACATTATGAGACCGTGCACGCAACAACCCCCGTCCTACATCGATGTCGTTACTGTGGGAAGGATTTCAGTCGCGCGGACTCACTTAAACGCCACATCGATAATGGATGCGACGAGATGCTGTCGCACAAATAGATCTGGAAACAGACTTTTTTGGTTATTTCCTTTCTGTCTTCCATACCAACCAATCCAACCTTTACCATCCGGGCATTGTCCTAATTCCTCACTTGAGCATCCATATCCCCCTGCTACCTACGTTACCCAATCCTGTCATATAATTTTCCCCCAGTTCAATATTGTGCTTGGAGCGTGCTTGTACTTATGTGTATTTCTACTACTGCACTAGACTCGGAAGGATCCTCCAGTAGCCCTACGGTAACTGGCACGCAGTTGCTATATACGACTGCGACGCATAGTGATAGTAATAGTGTATTCCCTCACACAAATAACTTGAACTCTCAAGTCGATCCCCTAGTACTTAATCAGAGCATGATATTCCTGACTATATGTATAAAACCCCCGTCCCCGGCGATGTTGGATGACCGATATCTGATATTGATATATATGTAGGTCCGAGGTGGGGTAGGCCTGGAATTCTAAGACTAAAGTCTGCAGCATGCACGTCACGATGCATCTCTAATGGGGTCGTATCTCCGACCGCCCAAGTACTTATTTGGGGGATAGGTACTTGACACCCGTGATACCCAAACTTAAAGTAGCTCTGACAAGACTAGTGTCTCAGGCAGGCTGCTGATCATTTGTGGATCAATCGATCACGCTGCTTTTCATCTCGTGCATCAGTGATGTGATGTGGAGCCGTTCATGATCATGATCAAAAGGTGCTGGCGGTGACCTTGATGTTAAGGTACGCATACGTATGTTTTTACTCTTTTTTCCCTTATTGACCGCCTCAGTGGATGCGGGGGCCACGGCCATGCATGGTGAGTCTTGGTCATCTCACCCAGTTTTTGGAGAGAGGCTGCCATTTTTGCGCATGCAGGCGCCGAGGGAGCTCTAGCTCTTTGCAGTGACTGTGCCTATCGTATCGATATCGTGATAGGACGGTATTGAATCTTGATTTTCACAGGGCTATCAAGGGACCGAAACGATCGCACTGCATGCATGCATGCATGTGATGAGTCTGCAACCGGATTGAAATCAGTGAACACTCCGAGGACTTCGGGTGGTGTGACCGCGCACATTAATATTCACGAGTCTGCTTGGAGAACTGGGTAAGAAAGAATGACATGGTATGGTATGCCGTTCGCATGCCATGCAAGTTTTTTTGGAAAAAGTGTCTCGCGGTATCAACGCAGTAGCGTGGGCCTGGGTCCGCTTTCACGGCCTGAGACGAACAAATAAGTGCAATGACATCAGACGTACGTGGCGTATTCGTGGTATGTCGGCGAGAACAGCACCGTGGTCCATGGCCACAAGTTCCCCACTTCGTACTTACGACGCGATATGGCCGTCTTCGGATGCTTCGGGATTGGGCAGCCAAGCAAAATAGCTTAGCAGAAAACTCTGGTAGACGAGCTACGCAAGAGACATTTACCTCACCTACTAGGAAGCGAATCGCAGGTGATAGCGAGCCCACGTTGGCGGAAGAGAAAATATGAATGACACATCTAGTGACAGGCTCACAAAGAACGTGTCACGCGCTGATGCGTTTATTGATAATCAATGCAATAACGTGGATCTCAATCATCATCATCATCACCTGAGTCACTGTCTCTGCTTCCGTTATCAACCAAGCCCTCAATTTCAACCCCAGGGGTGTCATCTTCGACGTGATCATCGTCTTTTTCTGCGCGTTTCTTGTTTAGTTTGTCAATGATTTTGTCGGCACGATTGAATATTCCCCCCGTGGGGGCGCCGCATGCTAAGCATTTTGGAGTTTTGGCATAGCGCTTGATTGCACATGCCGAACAGTAATAATGCCCGCACCGCGTAGCCACTGGATCTGTATAAGGTTTGCGGCAGATGAGACAAGCAAAAGGTATGTCCTCATTGTCTGAATCAGAGTCTGACACATCCTCGACTTGTTTTCGCGGGGTTTCGGCGAGTTTATCCAATTGCCAACCAGCAAGGTCTGGCCAAAGTGAATGTCATCAGTTGCTTTAAGAGTAAATGCTATGTAAACATACATGTGCCACGGTCGTGCAAGAATTTGCAAGTGTCACCAAAGCCGCAGTACCCCGTTTCTGATCCGGATAATTTGTTTTAGCATCCGTGTCCCTCGGAGAAGAAACGTACGAACCTTTGTAGTCTTTGCAAACATCGGGCTGATAATCGACAATGGTGACTGTACGAATGGTGCTAGTACCTCGCTGCGGACCGACACGCATGGCTTTAGGTACTTCCTGGCTTTTCTTCAGGTGGCTTCGATAAGCTTTTTGGCCTCTGTACAATCCGTCGTCGGGTATTTCTTCTTCCTCTTCGCCTCTGTCCGCTTTCTCCTTCTTTTGGCGTTTGGCAAGTAGCTCTGCAGCTTCGTCGCCAGCTAGGATCTCAAGTGCTGCGTTGGTGTGCGACCCGGCTGCGGTCCATTTCACAGCAGGACCGTCGCGTTCCACTGCGTCTGGATCGTCCATCTCATCTTCCCTTCGTTGTGCAGCCGTACGTTTGGTGCCGGCGCTCAGAAGGTTGCCAGTTGGTTTGCGGGGGGGAAGAACGACCTCGGATTTGGATGAAGATGAAGATGGTACTGGCGCTGATACACGGGGCGGAGAGGCTGATCTTTTGCGGGAGGTTGTTGGTCGTGATTTGCCTTTCTTGAAGAAGGGGACTTTGACGTCATTTGTGGTGGACATGGTTTTTGGCAAAGCTTTTCTGCAGCTTCAGGCTCGAGGAGGATGTTCTAAACAGTCTGAGCTTAGTCATGCCTCTATTAGTCAGCTGCTAAGCTTCTAATATTTCCTTGATTACTCATGGCCTCCTGCAGCTGCATGGTACGGCCGCGGATAGTGACTTGTCCATACGGCCGTAGCTTGACTCGAAATGCAAGTACTGAGGCCTGAGGCTGAGTGGTACTTGACTGATATGTCATGATTTTAATATTAACTCAATTACTTAGCGGGTCCCAGTAAGTAAAATTATTATCGCTACCGAAAATTACCTTCACAAAGTGGCAGCTTGGGTGGTTTGCGGTCAATTGTCAGTCACCAACGTCATCAATTCACAGCCCAGGGGAAGGGCTAAAAAAGAGGCACAAGTTACCAATACGCTAAAAAATCAGTGCAAACTGTTTGCAGATCGGTGTAGATCATCTGAGTAGTAACGTATCAGGGGGCCATGAAATGTAGTAACTTTCATAGCCCTCGTCTGTGTCTGCCAAGGCATGACGAACTAGATGCCCCTTGATCGTACGCTCTGCCCAGGTATCGACCTTGGAGCACCCGTCAGCCCTGCAGGGGACAGGACCACCCCGGTCCCGGTAAGCACACTGCCCGATACAAGCACTTACGGCACATTTTCGGAGGTTAACCCCGTCCGGCCGTCCGCCTGCATCTGGTGTGCTGACATAATCGCCACTTTACCACTCACACCCGAAGTTTCCCCCGCAAGGACCTGTCAGGTTTTCATGACGCGAACTGGGGCGCAGTATGGAAGGCTCGATAACAGAGATTATGAGGAAGAGATAGAGCAGATTCGGTGAGTCATCGACGTCGAGTTGACCTGCCTCCACCTTGTGCTGAGAACTGGAGAGGCGCTATGAAGATTTCACGACTATTGGTACATATATATGTTTGGAACTCACCGCATCTGTTGACTGAATCACACGTTCGCGCTGCCAGATTGGATTCAAGACTCTGTAGTGGAAAGAAATAGACGCATACGCAATGCAAAGGCGGCAAAAGTGGCCTACCGCGGTCCTCGCGGCGAAATTACGCCTACATGGGTGTGGGCTCAGTTTTGGAGGTTTCTGAGAGCTGGAGAACCCTGGCTTGTGATAAGTTTAGTTGGTGAGTATCATGTGCATTGTGATATTCCCTTGACCGATGACGTGCCAGGTATCTTCATTGGCGCGAATGCTGCTTTCATTTCAATCATCACGGAATGGCTTTCGGATTTCAAAATGGGATACTGTACGGACGGGTGGTGGTTAAACTCACAATTTTGCTGCTGGGAAGTTGAAAGTGACGAGGAGTTTTGTTCCTCGTGGCATCTGTGGAGCACGGCGACTCCGCTACGATGGCTGATATATGTCATTTTCGCGGTAAGTCCTCTCTATCTCAATAGTTTTGACTATAATAAATTGCATGTCTGTTTGCAGGCTATGTTCTCGTTTGTGGCAGCTCATCTTGTTCGTAGCATCGCGAAATATGCTGCTGGGTCTGGCATCTCAGAAATCAAATGCATTCTCGCGGGCTTCATAATGCAAGGGTTCCTCGGGTACGCAACCTTCTTCATCAAGAGCCTTACGCTTGTGAGTTGTCTTACAATTTCCGTAAACAATGTCATCGACCAGAAATAGCCTTTGGTGATTGCTTCTGGGTTGTCCGTCGGTAAGGAAGGCCCTTCGGTGCATGTCGCGTGTTGTATTGGAGCTATCGTCGCAAGTTGGTTCCAGCGGTTTTCTCGAAGTCAAGGTTTGGGTCAACGCTTTTTTTAAATATGTATTTTCATTCTCATTAATCAAGGGAAAATGCGAGAAATCATTACTGCTGCCAGTGCGGCAGGAGTGGCAGTTGCTTTTGGGTCACCGATTGGTGGTGTTTTGTTTTCTATTGAGGTACAGATCCTCATATTTGCTGTATTTTGTGATTTGAAACCCGTGTTCCCACAGGAAATGAGCCAGATGTTTCGCATCAAAACTATGTGGAGAAGTTTCGTGTGCGCATTGGTTGCGACGTTTACGTTATCCGTCAGTACATTCCTTCACCTCATCCTTCCACTTTGACAGTCTCATTTTAGGTCATGAATCCGTTCAGAACAGGAAAGCTCGTGCTGTTCCAAGTGACCTATAGCCGTGACTGGCATTTCTTTGAGATTATCTTTTTTATCATACTTGGAATCTTTGGCGTAAGAATTATTTCTCTCCAATTTCGCTCTTGGTTGACAATGTGGATCGTCGTTCCAGGGGCTCTACGGCGCGTTTGTAGTCAAATTTAACATGCAGGTAGCTGCATTTCGCCGAAAACATCTCGCAGAACATGGCGTTGCAGAAGCTGTTACCCTTGCGACTTTAACTGCGGCTGTTGGTTACTTCAATCGTTTCATGCGCATCGACATGACAGAAATGATGGCAATCCTCTTTCGTGAGTGTGAAGGAGGCGGAGATCACGACAATTTATGCCAGTGAGTACTCCGTTGATCCGTCATGCGATCTACTCACCTTTTCTTGCAAGAATGGCTGTTCAGTGGCCCATGGCAAACTCTCTCCTTCTCGCTACTTTCATACGCATGGGTTTTGTCGTCATTTCCTACGGGGCGAAGGTCCCTGCAGGTATCTTCGTACCTTCAATGGCTGTTGGAGCAACTTTTGGGCGGATGGTTGGCATCATGGTAAAGGCGATGTATCGGTAGGTGGACATCACTGGCTCTCATTACAGAATTACGATTACTCTCTATAGTGCTTATCCTCACTCAGGGATCTTTGCGGTTTGCGACCCGAATGTACCGTGCATCACACCGGGGACTTACGCCTTTCTTGGTGCCGCGGCAGCCCTTAGCGGAGTCATGAGGATAACTGTGACTGTTGTGGTCATCATGTTCGAGCTCACGGGAGCATTGACGTATATCTTACCGACCATGGTGAGCCTGATTGTCCAATTTTACGACTGATCAAGTTGGTTCCCACGAAATTCAAGTCCTTCATACCGATTCTCTTCAGATTGTTATCCTGGTAACGAAGGCTGTCGGTGACTTCCTTGGGACTAGTGGCATTGCAGAAGAGACGATTCGATTCAATGGCTATCCGATCCTTGAGAAGGAGGACCACGGGTTTAATGTCTCAGGTTAGTTCTCCGCTTGTTACCTACATTCATAACATTCTCATGTTCATGAAGTTTCGGAGGTCATGAAGAAGGATTTGGATATTCTGTTTGCATCTGGAATGCTTGTCTCCGACGTTGGTAAGCGTTGACGGATCGCCATTGGCTGGGGAATATTATTGATCAGTGCTCTAGAGCGATTGTTAGGGTCTACCAATGTGAAAGGTTTTCCCATAGTTGTTTCAGAATCATCTCGAACGCTTGTTGGGTACATGGGCAGAACCGAATTGCGCTACGTACTAGGTATGTGTCCGCTAGCGTTTGGCTTCCATGTGGCATAACAAAGCATAGACAAGGCCCAAAATGTGGGCGGCATATCCCCGAGCACGCCCTGTGCGTTTACTAGAGAAGCGTCCGACCAAGAGGATTTTGTCTTATCAGACATGACTTCTGGATCAGCTCTTGGTGTAGAGGAAGAGGAGGCAACGGAACTTATAGAGACGACTGCAACGATCGACGTGCTTAAACTCTGGCCTTGGGTGAACCAGGTACTGTACTTCGCGCTAACTCTTTGACATTCTTTGACCTGTCCTCAAGACACCTCTTACCGTATCTCCACGGCTACCACTGGAGATAGTAACGCAACTATTCAAGAGAATGGGGTACGTCCCACTTGACCTATACACGTAATGCACTGTCCTTACGTTTTATTGGGACAGTCCCCGGGTGATACTTGTCGAGGAACACGGGTCGTTGAAAGGCCTGGTGACCGTCAAAGATGTCCTGCGGTTCAACGCGACGGAGCAGCCTATTGGAGATCTGCAATGGGATGTAGGTGAACTGGAAGCTATTCTTGATGTTATGTGGAACTGGGCAATAGGGATTGCGGAAACTTCCATAGAGTGGTGTAGACGCTTGATACGTCGATGAGGCTGGCATGGTTGTTTCTACTCACTGCCATAGATGCTATATGTATCAATACTACATACTTTCCTAATTCTTGTGTGAAATTGGGATCGATTCAATGTGATAAGTTAGCGGTGTATGCCAAAAGCTTCAAATGCATCGCGTATATGGGTTGTCTCCATCTCCAAGTTCCCCAGATGAGCACGGTCGGGGCGGACTCAAGAAGATGTCGGTCCTCCTAAAAGGAAGCGAGGAAGGCACATCTTGATTATACCATCTAAACATTTTAGATGAAACGTTTCAAAGGCAGAAACATACAACAACCAGTGACATGAGAGTTTTGGCAGGGTTTGGGCAAAAACCTGAAGGAATTTTCGACCCGAGTCATCGCCCCGAACCTATGCAGAAAATAGTCAGGCCACAGCGGCGCATATTGGACACCACATTCTGCCGTCGAGTGAAGTTATAACAAGCATCTGATTGGTTCTGTTCCAGTGACAGAAGACAAATCTGTTGAATAAGACCTTACAAGCTATGCACGTACGGAGCACGAAATATGAGGTACAAAACTGGGTCGCCGCGCAGACCTCATTCTAGGTGTGTTCTCGTACCTCGATTTGCGTGGGACAAGTAAGACCGATCAATGAGCGCTTACTGATTTACTAATGCCTGTGATATTTTGGCGAAGCTGCTGTACCTGCGCACCGTAAGGCCACATGGCGATTCCGCACACAACTGTAGAGCCTTTGAGGATTTGTACTCAGATTGCCTTTGTAGCAGTAAAAATATGTCGCCAGTAGATTAATTATGCGGGCGGTATACAATGTTGTTAGCATGGCAGGACCATGACGCGATGTGGTTTGGCTCACCTCGGGAAAATTAGCAAACAGTTTATTTTCAGCTGTATCCCAATGACTAGATTTCCTGTGATAATGCCTGGCTTGTGACTGGTCAGTACTTTGATGCTTCCAGCCAACGAATCTCCGTGTCTTGTATCCCTAGTGACTGAATGTCATGTCATGCATGACATGAAATTCATGTTCGCAGTATCCCCCACCCAATGTCCTCGGCGAATGTTCGACCAAAACCCAACCAACATCAAAGACCCTGCTGATCAACTTCCGGACGATGGCGCGATGTTCTGTCGGAGAGGTCTAGGCAACGCCTGACGAAATTTCTGAAAACGGCAAGTGCGCACGGTCTATTTTCCGGTGATGAAAGGAAAGCACCGCCGATACAGTTGGTCGAGACGAGCATATTAAAGATTTTTTTTGAATGCCATCAGGGTTTATATCCGTTGGGGCCTTATGTTAGAGAAAACATACCGACTTTTTGAACAAAAGCACGAATCGAGATCTTTGTCTTGTAACCCTGCAGGATTGATGTCCGTTCGCCGTGACCCTATTGAGGTGTCAAATTATTATCCTGAACACGAAATCAATTTAACCGAAACTGCATACGAGATAGGGCATAAGTTACCACATACACAGACCTGGTTTCGTTGGGGACATTGACGGTGGAGTATTGCTGAAGATTGCGAACCCTATTCGCGCGGCCTCCCGTTAGAGATTGGTGAGAAAGAGAGGTCGCATGCCATGTAGTACTAGTATAAGTTAGTTATTCATAAGTACTGTTATCCGAGAGATAGGATTGCATTTGAAATCGGCTGCAGCGGGGCGACAAACGCACGACTCTGTCGTTGGTTCACCCACTTCCAGCGTAATCGCAAAATCTGGGGTGAGATCTAAAAAGGGGAAGCAGGTTAGAATTGACGGTCTTCATGGCTGCGGCTCCTGGCGGTCTGGACACTCGTGGTACATAGGGCTTCCGAAATTCCCGCATCATGGAAGATCGTTCGATATGTAAGTTCTATTAGTAGGTAAGGACTGAATAGGAGATTGACACTAACGAATTGACGTACTTAGACTCAGAGCCACCGGTAATTGGGAAATGTCCGGTAGACTGACGTACATGCCCTCTCGCGAGCACGCAGCCTGTTCTGTTGACGACAGCTAACTAACAGGCCATCTGATAATGCTTTGTTGATCAGCAACACGCAAATTTTAGTCTATACTCTATGTGGTGAACAATCAAGCGATGCATTGCAAACGCCGACGGCTACATACAAATGTCCACAGTTCGGGTAATAACTGGAGGGTCCTGGGAGAAAGTGCTCGCGGAACACTGAGAACACGATAACAGAAGGGAACTGAAGTTTACGAGACATGCAAAATGTAGCAAGTGCAAAGAAACTGAAAATGGGGAAGTCTGTGCTCGCGGAGAGATATCGTGCTACGGCCAATAGGATAAAGTCCGCGCCACTAGTGAACCATGGGCAGTCCTAATGGAACAAGTCAATACAAAAAGCCACGGCCATTCGGATAGGATCTTAACTCACCCAATACCCACAAGTAGACACAGCGCCTGTCTATCACAAGCGCCAGTCTTGGACTGAAAGTTTGAGCCAAAATAATGGATACCGAGATTACCGCGACCTAATCCTAAAACGTGGACTCGGATGACAAGGGTTGCACGCCCCCTCACCTGCGTTTTTTAAGCGCTGGTAGTTCCATTGCAGGTTCCGGCTCTAACTGGGATATGCGCACGGGAACAAACACAGGACCGGGGGAACTGTGCTTGGACGTTTGAACGCGGTCAGATGAAAATGGTCTGATAGTGGTGTCCGATGTGAGATTGCGAAGTTGTTGACATGATATTGGAGGGGTGCCATGGTCAAGTAGCGAGGTTATATCATGCGCTGGAATATAGCTGCGTCGGGAATGTGACATGGGGTTAAGCTCGACACCAAGCGTGGCAGAAGTGTCCAGATGATCCATCTCTGAGGTGCGAGATTGCAGAGGAGGCTTGAGAAAATTTTCCAGTTCAAGTTCCTCATCCGTTGTGCTGATGCGAGAGCTGAGGGAGTCTATGGATATACGCGCTGGGAAAGCAGAGAAAACAGTATCTCTTGCGGCAAGAAGTGTTGAAGAGAGTGACGCAGTAGATGTGAATGGCGAAGACGAGACAACTTCAGTCTCCTGAGTGCTAGATAACGATGTAGGTTGCGAAATGGCCCTTCGTTTGGCAGGACGCGCACGATGCCGAGGTATGATGAGTTGGGTACGGAGGTGGATTGGGTCTGATGGCCATAGTTGATTTGCATGCCTGAGAACGGCAAGCGACACACCATACCGTAGAGCGACTGCGGCAATCGAGTCACTGGGGGAAACCTACGAGTGGAAGTTTGTGACATATTACATGCTCAAGGGCGGGAGAAAGACAGACTGTGTGTAGAATGTCATCGCTATCATGATGGCTGGGGGTATCAAGGTCGTCCGGAGTATCTGCCGAAGCCTCAACAGCAGCAGGGATGTCCTCCGATAGTGTGGTTCTTACTTCAAAGACATCTTTCGCAGTGTATGATACGGAAGCCCTTCGCAACGGATGAGAGCTCAACGCCTCTGAACGAACGGCATCGTCCACATGATCGTGGCCATTGGTGACATCGCTGCGAGATCCTTCACTGTGCAATAAAGTAGCGAAGCCATCGGTGAGGAACTCATCCCGCTCGCCGAGCTCGAGCATACGAGTTGGGGCTTCGCGACGGAGGAGGCGGTGGGAATCTAGATGCTAACCCTAACCTTTACGAATTATTGATTTATGTAAATATCACGCATTTTCTCATGCATAATATTTTTTCAAAAACAGTAGCCTTGGTACCTGCGGTCACGGTAAGTTACTGAGTTGAACCTACCTAAAACCTTACAGCACTAATTTGTATGCACCTTTGACCTGTTCTTCCACGCCTTATGTCTTATGGCAAAGCCCTAGCTTCCCAACTTTGTGCCGCACGTTCGCATCCTATCACGTTTCCAACTTACTAGATGTATGACTCTTCCTGCCCGAAGTTCCTGCATTTGGCACCCGTGTCGTGGCTTCGATGGTCGTAAGTGATGCTATGAAGTTCCACCGTGTGTCTGTGGTAACTGCAGGGCTATTACCTATATGTCCACAATTCTGGGACATTGGCTCCGGGTCGCGACTCTCGACTCAGAGAAGTTCAGGGCGTATTGCAAGATCGGTTCCGTTGTGAGGTAAAAGTACTAATACGAAGGAACAATTATCTTCCTTCAATTGGTTTGGCTAGGGGAGATCAAGGTAAATGGGAAATTCTCACGAACAAGACCTGCCATTGCCCAGCAGCTTACCTGAATTCCGGGACACAAAAGACAATCTGGCAGGGAAGAAGGCTCCAAATTTAAAGAGAGCGTTGACTTCACGACTGCATCCTCGTTCCAGGCCCTCGCATGCGCGATCACCGGCCCGGTATATGGATGGGTATTGTTCACTCCTATCCACTGACATATTGTCCATCGTGCTAACATCGTGCAGTCACTCAATGCACTTACGGCATCAGGACTGGGTTTACTTGGTATATCTCTTCCGAGACCTGAATTAGCTCTGATGAGGTATATAAAGTAAATTTCACTGATGCAGTCTCGCTCACTCATCACGCATTCGAGGAGACGATTATCCAAGAGGGTCTTTCGGATTCAGGTCTGTCACGATTTTTTTTGTATAGCCCGGATAGATGGGAAATGCATTCAATGCTCGTCATCCCCCATTGTCATGAGCGTGCAAGTCGCATTCTGGACTCCTGATCGAGATCGTTTAACTCATCTTGTGCCTCATCGTGCTTGCTTGCATCATGTTCAAGAATCAAACTATGATAATGTTACACTTATCGAAGCCTAACAGATAATACACGAGAGATATTCTATCGATAGAGGATTCAGGGGGTCTGCAAAATGTTGTCCAGAGCTTTAAGAAACCATAATGTACACTGTCTCCCATCTTAAACGGTATAGTGACTGTAAAGTTTTTCGTGAACTGAGTAGCTGAATTGTTCGTCAGGAATTTATCTCGCCCCTCAAGCAGTTTGGGGATGGGAAACGCGCGGTCCGTTGACTCTAACCCTAACCTCATCGCAACCTGAACAGGACAAGGTCCTCATTCCGTTGAAATCAGTGGATTCGATTTTTCTCATGTTGATTCAGACTGAAAACGATCTCCACAAAGTATCCAGCTTTCTTGCAGTGTTATCGTCTGGCTGATCAGCCCCCTTTTACAGATGCCGCACGCCGATACATCTTTAGTTCCAGACTCCATTGAGACTAAGTCTGAATTCTGGACTCATGTGCATGATCAGCTAGAAATTTTGATGGGAGGACAACGACATTGGGTGGGCTTCGATACCATATTGAATCCAGCCCGAACCATTAAATCACATCACTTCATTTACATACAGGTCTCGAATTTGTCCAATGCCGCTTCGCTTATTTACAGCTCCTTGCAGGCTTTTCCCAGCAATTTCGGGGATGGAGAGCGTTCGGTCAACTGGTGTGGTGAGTCTTCCGTTTTCCACCGCCGGTCTCGATACCCCGGTCAATAAATTTTAGCGAAAGAAGATTGCTCAGCCCCTCCTTCTTGTGATGAGCTGTCTTGCTGACTCTGGAATTCAATTCTCACAGGTTTCTACCTCATCTCTTCTCTTTTCCCTCAGCCCCGATTCACTGATGACGCCTCGATGGACCCCAAATCTCAAACGCATGCTTCCGCTAATATTCTCTTGGGACCCTTTTCTGGCAAGCCTGCCTGCCAATGGATCGAGGTCTCCCCTCGACCTCGAGGCGTGTGTGGAGATGCATTTGTTAAGCGCAGCACCATTCTTGTTCCAGACGTCTTGACCTACCCTGGGCATATTGCCTGTGACGGCGATACGAAAAGCGAGATCGTGTGTCCCCTCATTCTTCGGAAAGGGGGTGAAGATATTGTGCTGGGTGTTCTGGATCTTGATTGCCTTGCGATTGGGGGGTTCGATGTAGACGATCAGGTCGGACTAGAAAGAATTGTGGCACTCATCATCAGATCTTGTGACTGGTAGTGATACAGCAGAATACAGCAAGTGAAACCATGGATCATGATTACGGTGACTATGACCCTGCAGATTCCTGCTCTTTCTTCCACGCAAGAAACTCCTCGTGCAATTTCCTCTGTGCATCCCAATCCTTCCGTGCCTTCTTGTGTTGGTTTTTGCTAAGCTCTTCCCCGCTTCCTGTGGCTGTAGGAAGGCCGTGTTCATCCCATTGGACATACGTCCCCTCGGGTACGTTTGGGGGCCGGAACATCTCTTCGGGAGGAACTCGCCCTTTCTCCATCTTTGCGAGACGCTTCTGTCGTGCCTCCTCAGCTGCAGCCGCCTTTTTCGCTGCTTGGGCATCCAACTTCAGCCGCTTTTCTTCCCGTGCCTTGATGAGCTCCGCCGGTGATACGAGCTTGACAAGAGCCTTGCCATCTATAGCAAACAGAGTCAGTTTGGAGGGAAACGAGGCATATATACTCCAGATCACCTTCTTGATCATCGAGCGCGACGCCCAAAGACACAAGATCGTCATCGCGCAGTTTATCACAGAGCTTCAGTATTTCCTTCAAAGCATGTTCATTTTTAGCAATAGCCAGTTGGCGAACACCGTCTCTGAATGATGACAGAACGCGGAGGTATGGCATCAACGTTTCTTCTCGCTAAGCTGCATGATCAATATCAAATAGAACAGAAAATATCCAAAAACAAATCTCACGTTCACACCACCGGCGCCCTCGTCTTCCTGCCCCCAGCCAATCTCTGACGTCTGCCCTTCGCCTAGTCCAAGCATGCGGAGCATGTCACCGATCCATGTCGCGGATTGCTCCACCACGCTGACATTGGTCTTCCTCCCTGGGCTGTTAATGTAGATGTTGATGCGGGTAACCAGGTCACGCATGACTTTGAGCGCTTCAGGTGTATTAAAAGAGTCGCAGAGAGCCGCACGGAAGGCCGTCTTGCTGTCGTACAAACTGGCAGGGCGTTAGGGTGTGGCATGCGAGAGATATCGCCTGTTTGACCTTTTCATAAGTTCTCGCTCAGCTTCATTGTAGTAGTGTTCTCCATCTGACTGGTCCTCATGTGCTCGTGCTTGACTTATGATCGCTCTGACATTCGTGAAAAAATTCTGTATGGTTTCTCAAAATATAGCGGATATTAAAATACGGAGGACTTGCGTTGAATGTAGCCTCGAGGGACTTGACTTCGCCCGTCATCATCGATTCAGAAAAATCGATCTTCGCATTCCATAATTGCGAAATGAATGCGAGTCGCAACTGCCGAGCTGTGAACCTCTGAAGTATCTCCTGTGTGACCGGCCGTATGAGTGATATGGAGCATAGATCGGACGCCCAAAGTACCCACGTCAATCGTGATAAAATTTTTCAGCGATTTGCTCATTTTGAGCCCTTCGATGTGAAGGTGACCGGTATGGATAAAGTAGTTGACCCATGCACCGCATTCGTGGTAGGCCTATCACCACCTCTGATTAGAAACGTCTCTGGAGAATACTGCAATGAACTGACTTCGGATTGAGCGATTTCGTTGTCATGGTGTGGGAATGCGAGGTCTATACCACCAGAATGGATGTCCATGCGATCCCCAAAAATGGCACTCGCCATCACAGAGCATTCAATATGCCAGCCTGGGCGACCTGGACCCCAAGGTGAGGGCCACGAAGGTTCTCCAGGCTTGGACGCCTTCCAAAGCGCGAAATCGGAGGCAGATCGCCGTCCTGAGGTAGACGAGAGCACGCCTGATGCCCACAATGGCTAAAGTTACTGATGGAACTCCCAGGACAAAATCAACATACCTTCGCCTTCAGCCAATAATTCTCTGTTCCCTTTACTCCAGGGCTCCAACTTGGCGTAATCATGCCGATCAGATGAATCGAATGCACCTGTATCAAAGTAGACACTGCCTTCGAATTCGTAGCCATAGCCATTCTTGATGATACCCTGAACAAATTCGACCACTTCCGGAACATATTCTGTGACGCGGGTTACGGTATCTGGGTAACGGACATGAAGCCGCTCCATGTCCTTGAAAAATTGACGCTCCCAGTATGCCGCAAGAGACCGGGATATAGACGGGTCCGTGACAGTATGTTTAAGCTATGCACATGACCAATTAAACTGCCAGAAATAATAAATGATATCAAGAAAAACTGACTTTATTGTCGAGGGCGGAGGCGAGAATGTCACGAGACTCATCTACAAGTCTAAGCGCTGTGTCACCGCTACTCTGATTGGCAGATAGTGCGTGCCTTGCAGTTTCAATGGCGGCAAGGGTGCGATTCTGTATTGCCGAATTTTGATATATGCCAGGAAAAGAGCGGAAGGACACCTACAGCGGCTGCGAAATGCATGTCAAACTTCTCGTCTCTCTTTAGGCATTCGAGTTTGCGGCTCTGATCCCGTGTAAGCCCGACAATCCGTGGCCATCGCACTTCTTCTTCCCCTCGTGAAGGTTTCTCTTCGTCCGGTAAGCCCTTGGAGACTTTCTCCCTGACATAATTTCCCCATGCTTCACTGACTTGCGACAATAGATCGGCGGAAAGCGTGGTTGCAGATTTTCTAAATTGTGAGAAGAGATGATTTTGACGCGCTCTAACGATGATCTTCAGGACGTATAAGACGTCGTTTTGATCAAAAGGGTGGGTGATGACGCACTTTATCGTCTATGTCCGTAATGTTCATAACAAAGTGCACATCATAGCCAAAGTAGTCTGACAAGATTCTTCGCAAAATGTCTTGTGTGACATAATTCCTGGAACAATGTTCAAAATGGCAGTACATTCACCAGGGAGAAAATCCTGACCTCGCGTGGCCCATGTGAGAGGCATCGTAGACTGTTGGACCACAGTTGTACCATTTGACATGGGAACCATCGATGGGTATGAACTCCGTCTATCAACAGTGAGTAGATCTATCTAACAACCCAAGTTCAAATACGCACTTTGGTTTTGGTCAACGAATTGAAGATCTTTAGAACAGGTTGGTCAAGTTGACGAGGAGGTAGGTGCCATGCTGGTTGCTGAATAGCCATCACTGCGTTCGTTAGTGTATTTACTGACCTGTTGTGCGGCGCAGATGCTCGACGATAGCCAGAACGAACAATAATATTGACTGAAGTTCTGATCATATCATGACTCCCTACTACAAAGCGGGAGTCACAAACTGTGTGCTTATGTAATAAGCGCCTTGCAGGCTAGACCCAAGTTCCAAAGTCATTTCATGGCTAGCTATTCGGTCTCGTGTTGTTCTCGTATCCAAGACTTCCATGCCAGCATGTCGCTGCGTTATCATTGATACTAAACCCTTGATAGGCTTCAAAGAGCGCTTGTGTCCCGCTTGTTTTCGTTAGCATGGATCCTGGCCGCCGATCGAAGATACTTATAAGTTAAAGTAACGTTGAGTGTTGATTTCTCCAAGTGATAGAACTTCGCCTACTGAAAGGAAATTCCGAGACCCTCTGAACTCAGAGCTACGAGGGAAAAGAGTTAGCGGGCTCTCACGCAGCGGCGATCCCTATAAACAACGTTCTGACTCCTAAACTCGGCTGCATCATGACAGGTCCTACTACCTTCGTATTCGTCTACCGGTGCAACCCGGCGCTGTTCTCACAGCATCCTTGGATTTCACATGAAACTTTACACGCTCTGCCAATGTGGAGATGCATTGGTCCTACTTAGGCTCAGTCTAGCTGCTCGGGACATATTCAGCCTGCATCTGGATGGCATCGAAGCGCTAAGCTTTCGGCATCGTCTAGTGGATCGAAGCAGCGAAGCTCACGCAAGTTCGCTGAGCGACAAATACGTTCTCCAGAGTTGGGTAAACGCTGATAATTTTTTCAAATTTAATGAAGTGGGTGACTTAACTTTAGTCTTTTAGTGATAATCATTCGCGCTGTCGGAAATTATAGTTCCGTACGTTTCGCTCCCCGTTATTCGGAATTTGACCATGTAAAATGTAAACAATCAGCTCATTGTTTGCTAGAGTTTCAGGTGAATCATTCGCGCTGTCAATGAGAGTTTCATGCTACTTCCCGTTCTTCGGACTATCTTTTAGGTTCGATCGAGTGAAATAGTGCGATACTCGCGTTGATTCAAGCTCAAGGTTTGCTAGACAGGTGACGCCTTCAGCCCTATGTATCGAAGCGCCGAACGATTGCGGACCACAAGCTCTTGACGTAACTACAACTGGTTTGTGATTGACCATTCTTGATGAACAAACGATGTTCTAACTACTTTGCCAAAGAAGGCCCTGTTGCAAGTTATTTGCCTTTCCCGGGCTTAGTCTGCCAGGTGGCTCCGACGATCGAGGGTTAGTCTTAGACTTTTGGTCTAACACAGCAACAATAGCATCAGCCCATCACCGGTCACATTATCAGTAGGGCTGAGACGATTATCGAAGGTCTCGGTGGGCTCTCCATCCTTTGCAGTGTGAGGCGATGTCCATGATGATATAGCGCCCACCTCGCAGACATTAGGTGGCGGCCGTAGGGGATACACACCGCATGAGAATCATCAGTTTGGATTGTCGAGGCACAAGACCACTCTGATTGCGCTTGCGCTTTCTTTCCACCCTGCCGCCGATAACGTACCTTTGAATTTGATTGAGCATCCACGTAGCAGAATTTCGCTGGTGCCTTCTTTCTACATGCCGCCGATAATGTCCAGCGGGGCTTACACCAAGGACATACGCAAAATATTTGATTGGCCGCGAAGGCAGAGCGGTCTTGTGCCTTTGGGTGTCGAAGAATAGTGGTTCCTATTTTCCGCTGGTATCCATACAGTGCCCCGGAGATGGAAAGAGATTCATTCTAAAACTCTATTTTACTACTCTCTCCTTAAAATTTGTCCATGAAAAGACGATGACCATCCGAATTTGCTAGGCGGTTTTCCCACCGGGTTGCAAGCGCTCAACCGGCCGCGCCGTGACTCAGCCTATCAGCCGTTTTACATCAGAACGAGAGTTAAGGTTAAGTATCATGATGACTCTCGTCAAACACTCTTGTCTCTCGTTATTTATAAGGAGCTTTCCCATTCCATTAATTATTTAGTCTGCGCCCTTTCGAACTTAGCCTCTCTGATCACATCAATTTTAGTGCTGTGCAAAGTACACCATTTATCATCCCCAGTCAAAGCCATCACTAGCTGTGCGAGAACACTACCACTGCCCACTTTTTTCCTCACAGATTTCTCCTCACCACCCACAACATGCAACAGCAGCCCACCTGCACTAGACTTCGTGTGCGGTGAGTCCGCATCATGTTCCTTCCGATGGGCCTATGGCTTACAGGTGGGAAGATCGCCCCATGATGCTCAGATCATCTTTCACGCTGTAGCGATTGGCGTTTTGCCCATGGTCACCCGCCGACTGGATACGGAGGAACGTCGTTCGATATCCTCGGGATGCGTTTTCGTATGGGAGGAGCGTGGTCCTAGCCCGGAAGCCACCGGAGTAAGATTCCATTGATCGCTGCCTTCCCTGTCACGCGCTTATACCACCACAGCTTGGTATCGAACGATGGACCGATGGCAAAAGGTGTGATTCACGATCGATATGTTGAATGTGTGAAACGGCTGACACTGGTTGGCAAAGGTGGGGCCCAAGCCGAGTCCGCGACGTAAGTTTGTTCTTACCTCATATCGTGTCGTCATGACTGAAGGGTGTTCAGGAATTTTTGTTCTACACAGAGAAAGACCCTGAACCAGTTGATGTCGAGCCAAACTCAGACTCTGACACAACGTCTGTCCCCTTTCCCCTTGTTCCCATCCGTCTGACATCTCAGCGACAGGATCGGATCAAGCCCCCTGGCGCACGCTGGCACGCCTAACGAATACGTGCGTGTCAGCTTGGTCAAGCAGACGTATTCCGTCTTCGTTGAGACACCAAGGGGACGGAAGAAGTGGCATCTTAGTACGTGGCGTTGTTCCGATTATTCAAGGTTCTTAGCGAAACTTAACTTTGGCGCTTCCCCAGTCGCCTATTTTACTCATGATACCCTCGACTATCTCCGGACGGTGTCTGACCTTCCGGACCTCGCTCGCGTCGTCGTTCCTCCAGGGAACTACAGAAGCGCTCGGCATAACACGAGCAAGCACAGCCGTGCTCAGCGAGAAGAACGGCCCCACCCTTTCACCCCCCAATATGCTCCCTACCCATCACCCTCTCGGCCAGTTCAGCCCACGCCTTCTGGTCAGCATCATGATGCCGGTCACGTTTCAGAGTTTGGTGACCGCTCAGGGCGTGCACCGCCTCGAGACGGACAATCCCTGGCGCCCCTCACTTATCTGCAGAACCTAGCTCCGTTGCGAAGACACCCATTGGATGAGGAGGCTCTGATGGCATTTTGCCCTGGATTGAGTTAAACTCGAATCAGTTTGTATTTTCTTCGCACCGCTTTCGCTTTCCGTGGACTCTGTAGGATTAATGCCCTCTGGACCTACAAATGCTGTGATCATACGTTATTTTCTTGATTTGCAATCTTCACCAGCCTACCATCAGTCTCAGACAGATCTCGTGTTTTGTGTACTTATACTTACCCGCGGGTTACCTACATTGGTATTTGACGACATAATTTGGATTCTGCGTCCTATCGCTTCCATTCCCCTGAATTGATCCCTAGTTGAGCCTGACAACCACGAATTGGGCAAGTGTACTTTGTGTGACGCGGAGCGTAATCGCACGCTTTCGGTGGGACGGGCAAGAGAAAGGGAGTCCGCAGCTACTTACCTGAATGATCTTGCTCTTACGGAGATGCCGTGTAGGTATACCCTGAGGATCCCTGACACTTTTTTTTTCGAATGATGGTGAGGACTACATTGTAAAGACCGCAATAAGCATGATTTTGCTCCACAACGCCACTGTCCCCGCACTATCTTATATACCCTGCGTTCGGCTGCGTTAATCAATTGATTCCAGAAAGTCACAAGTGACTTGGCGAACTCAATAGCTGGTGGAGCTGTGATACCGTTCTGTAGGGAGGGCTGATTCTACTGGCAAATCATGGGTTACATGTGGCATGGGGACCTATCTCATTGATTCGCCCTTGCCGGTTCCGACCGGTTCGTCATTCTGTCCTATCACAATTCAAGGGATGCATGGAACGCTGACGTGGCGAGCCCAGAATTATCTATTGAATAGAGCGAGGATGCGAAGATAACACGCATCGTGAAAGAAGGACAAAAGGGATAGATGGTATTGGGTAAGACGGGGTTCTTGGTGGGCATGATGCCCTGCGATAGATCGGAATATCATGAGAATTTGGCCTATTGAAAGCCTCGGTCCAAGAATCATCCGTAAACTGGTGATGGAGGGGACGAACCTTGATCAGGTATTGAACGTGGATCTTGATGTATGACATATGTATTACATATGAGGAGACTTTGGGCGCAAGTATGGTTGTGGATGATTAGGATTTAACGTTTTGAACTGGAACCGGTATCTTGTTAAACTTGGTGTGTGTGTGTTCGTCGAGGTGCACGTTGACGAGCGTGCGATGGGCGGTGATGGATTTTATCTGATAATTATGTAATATGAGTATTGACTGCCGCGGGGAACTGTGATTTGGAAGACCCGGAGTTTACCGAAAAGGGAGGGGGTTGCGTTTTGATCGCAGTTTAGAATATGGGGGACTTGAAAGAAATTGAGTTGTAAAGTGATAGAGTTTCGCGCTGTAATCGAGATTGGCGACAAGCCTTTTGGGTCGTCGCCACCAATAAGATTCATCAGGGAGTTTCCCGAATTGGCCCAAATTAGAGCAACTGACTATGAACGGGAAGTCAGCGGATACCCCTGGTACAGAAAATAGTTTAATTAATTACCAAACCATCTTCTGCTCCCCAGATCTAGTAGCGAATATATACCACATACCCATTCTATTTGCCTCTCTTCTCCGTCTGTTTCATCCTCCCCGTTTCACATCACACCCCACATGCAGCAACGACCCACCTGCACTAATGTTCGCATCCGCTCGACTCGTGATGCTCATAAAATATTCTATGCAGTACAGCTCCGTATGCTCCCAATGATAACAAGGCGCCTTGACGCCGACGAACGTCTCGCCCTATCTTCTGGTTGCATCTATGCATGGGAAGAAAGAGGTCCCCACACTGAAATAACCGGTTTGGGTATTGAGCGTTTCACAGAGGGACGTCGATGGAGTCCCTCACGCGTCAGAGACGTTTGTTCTCCCAAAAACATCTATAGTAACTCTGTTAATCTTCCCTCAAGGAATTTCTCTTCTACTATGAGAAGTATACCCCACCAGCAGACGCAGGTCATTCAGGGTATGTTCCCGCCCTCACAAATTATTCCTAAATTCAGACAGTGTATTCCTAGGTCTTCTGACAAACAGCCCCCTCGCGATTGGGATCCCTTGGTAAAACAAACTTATTCTGTTTGGGTCGAAACCGACAAGGGCCGCCGCAAGTGGCACTTGAGTAAGGGCGTGTGACACCCTAAAATCTCAATTTTACTAAAGCTCTTTGTAGCCGCATACTTCACCCAGGCCACAGTTGATGAGCTAGGCACCATAGACAACATCCCAGGTGTCGCTGACCTCGTGGTCCCAGAGGGAACATTCCAAAGCACCCGAGTTGGCAAAACTCGCAAGGGCGAAGACAGTCGCTCAAGATCCGATGTCTTGAAGACAACTAATTCTACCGTGACCCGGACGTACGCTCCGTTTCCTACTGCTTACTCCAGCCAGCCTTCCCACTACCCTAATTCGCCACAATCATCGTATTCTCAGTCAGACGACCCATACCGTTCAGGTTTGGGTCAGCCTACGCAGCAGTTTCGCCCGCCGATATCTGATATCCCTCAGTATTCGGTTCCCCCGCCCCCTCCACCCCCTTCTCTCCCTCCCCTTCGCCCTTCGTACGACGACGACTACAAATACCGTCGTCCCTCCCTCCCCACCATACCCCAGTCAGAGCATAGCTCAGCGTTTTACGGTCGCCGAAGCTCTGCCGATTACTCCGCGTCTGGAACTATTCCTCCCTTGGCCAGGACTCGTACAGATACATCATTGAAGCCCTTTGCTGAATATCATGCCTCCAATGATCATCATGGGTCTTCCCCCGCATTTGGAGCCAGTATGAATTACCCTCATACTTCGAGCAGCAGCACAAGTGGTGCACATCGGGCGTCTGAGGACCCCTACTCCTCCCGACCTTCTTTCTCATGCTCATTTAATGTCCGCCCATCACATTCGCCGCCTCCCTCTCCCTCGTGTCGCATCCGACCACCATCCACTGTTGGCAATTTCCAGCCTGTCTCCCGAGCGGCAGATGATGATGGCAGAGAACCAAGCCAGAGCGCATTTTCTCTAGATCATTCAGCCAGCTTCCCTTCCCCTCACAACACACCACACATCTTACTTCCCCCTCCCGCGCAGCTCTTCCGGTCCGATCCTCCTCCACAATATGAAGTGGCATCTGCCGCGGACCCAAGCAGCATTGGACCGCAGCGCGTTGGCCTGGCGCCTTTACATTCGTTACAGCGCAGCCACCCCTACAAACGAGACCCTGTAGACGACAGAGCCCTTCGGCTGCTAGGACCACGTTCCGGGTGACTATTCGCTGGTTGCCTCCCATCAGGTGATCAGTGACATGTCATGTCAATCGCACCACTGTCCGCTTGCGTAAAGACCCCATCATTCTTGCGTAAGACGCACATCACTGCGGACCCGCGGGAGAAGATGTGTGTACCTCTGATTAGTTAGGCGTGCTTGGCTTTTTACCGAGCAAGCGTCGGTTTTTTCTATGCGGTTCCTAGCCATTCAATCAAACGTTCGCCCCCCGTTGTTCGCTTATGGTGTGTCATATATCCATAACTATAACCATTCCTCGGTACATACTTGGGTTTTCGCGCTGAAATCGCGCTGTCAAATACAAATTGATACGATACGATACGATACGTTCATACATACATACATATACTGTACTTTTTGCTATTGAAACACGGCACGGCGTTGCGGAAGTTTTAGGTCGCTCTCAATCTCGATTGGAGAGGTGTGGATTATCTGACCTTGTTCAGTTATATTAATATCCTGGCGTGTGTGTAAAACTTGACGTGAAGCCGTAACATCGTATGATAAGTGTACAAAGTGGGTGCTATGTAGGGGGAGGAGGGGGGGCGAACCTGCAATCTGATATGATGCGAATGAATATATATAAATAAATAGAATGGCGGCCTTGTCCTAGGCTAGGCAGGGATGCGTCGATGAATATATATGTAGATAAGGCTCGGTGAAAATAAACTCTTTCAAATGTCGCAAATGGGGTGGAAGACGATGGATCATGCATGGATTGTCGCAATGCGGACGGGGTTATACGTCGGATAATCCGTTCGGCTCAACGGTAAATTTTCTTCCGCGTTCACGGGGTTTTATCAGAGAAGGAATGTTGCTAGGTGAACCGACGCAACGGAAGGTTTTTCTGCGGCTTGGCGGGTCCCATCACCATGAACTTTGTATACCTTCCGCTTTCAAGTTCCCATGACACCCATCGCTCAGGTTCAGAACTACTTTGGTTAAAACGATGCGATTCACGATGCGTGATACTACTAGTAGAATACAAGTACTGGGGGTTAATGACATGAGGACGAAGCATATGCCCAAGATAGCTAGCTGCTGAACAGAGCAATGACAGATAGATTTGACAGGTGCCTAAGTGGCAAAGCCAGGGCTCGTGACTACCACTCGAATTCGCTGCGCGGTGTCAATGTCAAATCATCAATGAGATCAGGACCACGCACCCCGTGCACTTGGCAAATAGATAATCCTTCCCGTTGATATGGATCATACCATCCTTGAGCAGACATTTCCATTTATTTTTGACGCGGCCGACCTGAGCAACACAAGGTCAGCCTGCGGATCTGGGTCATACACACCAGTGCGGCTCACCTTGTCATATGTGCAGAACACGATATCGGTTTCGCCTTGCCCGCCCTCCTCTGCATCTTCTTCACCCTCGGTATCCGAGTCGTCGAGGTCGCTGTTGATTGCCTCGGCATCATCTGTGTGCGTCATCGATGACGACTGCGATGGTTGAGGAAGCGAGGGGTGAGATGCGCGAGGCGCGAACGGCTGGCTGGGCGGAGGAGAAGGTGAGTCTGAATCAGATGATGAAGGTCCATCAACCTGAGGGATCTTCTGCCCTGGTGCTCTAGCTTGAGGTGCAGGCGGACTAGCAGCAGCGGGAGCACTCGGCGGTTGAGGGGAGTGTTGAGGAGCTTGAGGAGGTGGCTGCGGGACCGGAGGTGGGTATGGCCTAGTCATGACGGGTGGACGTTGCAAGTGCCCTGGGTGTGGAGGGAACGACAGGACGCCTTGTTGTCCTCCAGGAAAGCCTGGTGTTTTCATACCGTTCATTTGAGGTCCAGGCAGTGGTGGTAGAGCGTATGGTATGCCCGGTGGGGCACTTAGGACGTAGCGATTATCCACTGGTTCTGTCTTGACTTGCGGACCTTGAGGTTGCGCGACAGGAGGAGGCTGCGGGGCATATGCGTGCGGAGGAGGGTAGTGCGGGTGATGAGGAACCATCATAGGATGCGGAGGATACATATGATGGTGCTGTGGAGGCGGGGGCGGCTGTGGCTCGAACTCTGCAACATGTGATGCAATGACTTTGCTTTCCCATTTCTGCAAGAGCATTTGAATCACCGAGATTCCTTAACTATGATATGAACGAGAATGATATGAAGCATATACTCACATGTTGCAACTCTGCCAGAACTTCTTCGCTGACGCCGTACTCGTCGAACTCGGGCTTAATGGCGGAAATGACTTCGTCTATAACCGCGCGGTAGATGCCAGGCTCAAAAAATATCTCTGTTACCAGACTGAACTACTACAGCCAAGTACGGGTGAGCAGCTCACCACTATCTTATTCGACATTGTGGATGTCGCCAGCGACGATTGACACAGCGAGCGCAGGATAGGGTCGTGGTGGGGGAATGAAGGAGTCCTTTTATACTTCAATGGCCTGCGAGAGAGGCAGGTAAATTCAAACTCAGCCAGACTTCATCTCCGGCGTTCCCACGCACAGACCAACGGTTACAGATAGTAAATATCACTTGGCACATAACATAACAGTACTAGTATCATTCGTATGAAGTATCAAGACAACAAGCAGAAGCTGGGTCCAGTAGCCAAAGGACGACGGACGTGTGACTTGCTGAA